TACTGGATAGGGAGAAAAACAAAGTTTTTAAAACTGTATTGCCAGAAAAGACATCCGTGTTAGGGTTCTTAAGGGTTGTCAATTAGATAATAGTGTTTATTATTGTTAGCTTGCTTTTTTTTTTTTTTTTAAGTTTCAGTGTTTAGGGTTTTTTCTCCCCCTTATCCAAGGATATGTTTATTGATTTGAGAGAGAGAGGAAAAAGTAGAGAAACATCAAGCACTTGCTTCCCATAGGTGCAGACTTGAAGCTTTTTACCGGCTGAGCCACCTGGCCAGGGCTATTGTTAACTTTTTGATTTTTAAATTATACTGTGATTATGTAAGATAATGTTCTTTTAAGGAAATACATAGCAAAGTATTTGAGGGTGAATGACATCAAGTCCTTCAGCTTGCAAGTGGTGCAGAAAAAATGTAAAATGTTGGCATGACTGGTGAAAGCAAAGAGCCGGTTGCCAACTCTGCTTTTGTGTGTAAAAGCGGGGCTTCAAGGTAGTAATTAGATGGAGCATATTGATGAGTACTGTATGCAACAGCTTGAAGAGTTTGTTGGGGAAAGCTTGATCTAAGTTACCAAGGAGGGTTTGGAGCTACCTGAGGATGAAGAGGAGAAGAAGAAAATGGAGGAGAGCCAGGCCAAGTTGTAAGAACCTTTGCAAACTCATGAAGGAAATCTTGGATAAGGAGATTAAGGTGACAGTCTCCTGTAGGCTTATATCTTTGCCATGTGGCATTGTGATTAGTACCTATGGCTAAACAGCTAACATGGAGCATATGAAAGTTCAGGCTCTTTGGGACAACTCTCCATTGGGCACTGGGAGATCGACCTTGACCACCCCATCATGGATACTCTGCAGCAGAAGGCAGATGCAGATAAGAATGACAAGGCTGTCAAGGACTTTGCAGTGCTGCTGTTATTGCACCTCTCTCTCCTAGCTTCTCACTTGGGGATCCCCAGACCAACTCCAGTCTCATCTACTGCCTAGCCTAATCAATCTAGGTTTTGGCATTGATAAAGTGACACAGAACCCAGTGCTGCTGTTCCTGATGAGATTCCCCCCATTGAGGATGAGGAGGATGCATCTCTACTGGAAGTAGATGAGGAGTTTCTACCTGCAGACCTTGTGCCCTATGTATAGTGTCTCCATGGCTCCCCCAGCAGCCCTGAGTGACCCCAACTCACCTGGTTTCCTCTACTAAAGAATATATAAATAGCAGATAAAAGGAGCAGCCACTTAACCCTAGGGCTAAGATGAGCACCCAAACCCTGGCTGGTATGGCTCAGTGGATTGAGTGCTGGCCTGCAAACTGAAGGGTCACCAGATCAGTTCCCATTCACAGCATATGCCTGGGTTGTGGGCCAGGTGCAGGAGGCAGCCAGTCGCTATTTCTCATCACACATCAGTGTTTATCTCCCTCTTTCTCCCCTTCTCTAAGAATAAATTTTACACACACACACACACACACCTCCCACCCCCCTTCCCCACCCCCCCAAGGAAGATCCCCCATTCCTCCATCACCACCCCAGAACTGAGATCCAGACCTTGTTGGAAAGGGCTTAGCTATGTACTGAATATCATGATGATGCTGCTAATCTCCAGTTTCCCGTACCTGCAGCCTTCAAAATCATCTGAATAGTTTCCACAGAGGAATGTTCAAGCTTAATGCAAAATTTGATGCAGATTTTTGCTCTACTTGCTCATTTTGAATGTGACAACCACACGGTACACATGTTCTCCCAGCAGCGTCTATGCCCTCACTGACTCGTACAGTGAAGTCGTCGTCGTTCAAGCTTGCATATCGTAGTCCACTCTCTTTGGCTACTAGGTTACATCAGTGTCATGCAAACTTTCTTGTTACATTAAAAATTGCTGGACTTTTTCCAGAGAGACCATGTGTGTGCATGCGCATGCACACACATTTCTTTCCAGGTCCAGGCTCTGTCCACTGAAAAGATCTAAAAATAATGACTGATCCTGTAGCAATGAGCATCCCTGATGCCCCAGTTGTGGTCTTGAAATACCATTTCTGGACAAAATATTTATTATAAGGTAAGCTTAGAAAATTTGGCATACTAAGTAGCAAAGAAGGAATTACCAAAAACTACTAGGGTTGTTACAAAAGGATTCAGAAGCCAAATTAAAGAGGTGCCCACTGGGATATTTCATCTATCAATTAAGGATAATTCCTTCAAGGGTTTGAATCACAACTATGATTAAATCTGTGAGTTCACAGTGATACTTCATCTTAGATAAAACAAGCATGCATTTATCTTTTTCTTGTGAATTGTACCACTGAGTCACCAAATAAAGGAAGTTCCTTTTTATGGAAGTATAACAACTACTTCCATAAAAAAGGAGGAGTGATAAAATTAGAAGATCATTGTTTTGCAGTTTGTAGTAAGTTAATAGCTTTAGACTGTGTGCATCAGTTCCTAACACCATCACATAAAGAGGCACAATCAGACATATGTGCCTCCTAAATGAAAAGCACCCAGCAAGAAGTTGCCATGCCAGAATTAAAAGGTGGGCCCTGGCCAAGGAGCTCAGTTGGTTAAAGCATCATCACACTATGCCATGGTTGCGGATTCAGTCTCTGGTTGGGGCACATATAAGAATCAACCAATGAATGCATAAATAAATGATAATCTGTAGCTTAAGAGAGGTGATTTTTGGAGACAAAACTATAGTTTTGAGGGATACACAAGAGAGGTGATTACTGTAAGAGGAATTTTTTTAAGTCAGGTTTATAAAATGTTTTACAAGAACTTTTTAATTTTTTTAATGTAAAAAAAATTTTTTATTTTTAGAGAGGGGAAGGGATGGGAGAAAGAGGGAAACATCAATGTATGGTTGCCTCTCATGCGCCCCCTACTGGGAACCTGACCCACAACCCAGGCATGTGGCCTGTCTGGGACTTGAACCAGTGACCCTTTGTTTCATAGGCTGGCACTCAATACACCAGCCAGGGCTCCACAAACATTTTAGTTTTCTGTATTTGTGTTACAATTTTAAATTTTTAAAAATCAGTGGAAAGAGAACAAAGCTATCACATAAATAGGAGCAATATTTCTGAAAACCCTAGATAGAATGTGACTACGAACGTGGTATCTGACAGTAGAGCAAATGTGTAATGGCCACCATAATGAGAAAGATATCAACTGAAACAGAGCAGGCAATGCCATAGAATATAACAATTTATTATATTTTACTTAGTGATTTGCTTAGTAGGAGATTGGGTTGAAGTAGAACAGAAGACCCAGCAATTCTATATAGATCAGTCCCTACTACAGGCTCCTGTTACTGTACTTTTTTTATAGAATAACTTGGGGAACAAGACAAAGGGACAAAAATGCAGTAACACCAGGAACTGTACCTCCTGGTGGTCTTATAATAGATGAGTGTTTATAACTGATACCAGCACCAGTTTGGTGTTTATCTCAGTTGTCATGCCATTTTATTAATAACAAAAACGTTTATGGATTCATTTTAAGGAACACAGATAATCGTCAGTTGGAAGGCTTTGATATGCTTGCTAAGGACAGTGAGGTTGATCAAAGTCCACAGCATGAAACTTTAAAAATCAAATGAAATCCATGACATAATGATGGAGTTGGTTTTGTTCACATCTACATCTATAAACTTGGCCTATTAAAATAAGAAAACAATTCTTACCCATGGGGGACTCCTGTATAATCCTGCTTGGACCCCACCCTGGGAGATGTTGATTCAGAAGCTCTGTAGTGCAGTCTGGTCATCATTCTGTTTGTTAAATGTTCTGTGGTCAGTTGTGCTGAAAAGCCATTTCTTACTCTACTACCAGATTTTAAAGTTTGATTTTGAATGCTAGTGTCATTCTCACATTTCCTGTACAATTTGTTATTAAGTTCAGTCAATTGTTCTTAACATTTCTCCATTCTTTTCCTCATATCTTAAGATTCCACTTACTTCTGTTGCCCTCATTACTCTCCCAGACTATGGAATTGGTCTCCTAATGATCTCCTAAGTGATATTTAAACCCCTCAAATACATCCCTCAAGCTGCCACCAGATTATTGTAAACTAATGATTGGATAATGGTTAACTCTGTTTATGAACAATGGATCCTCATTACCTAAAGAATAAAAATCAGTCTCCACAAAATATTCCACAATCTGGCTCTTGCCTACTTTGTCAGATGTCTCTTTCACCACAGAAGGGTTTTCCTCTTTCCTTAGCACTAATCATGTTGAAGTATTTTGCAGATCACTGAGTATTCTATTCTACTTTTCCTGCTTTCCTGCCTTGGTGGTCATTGAGCATTTTGTTCTTGGAATTGCCCATGTTCCAGCTTTGGGATTTGTCTTCAAGGGCTGTTAGTCATCTCCTCTAATAAAATCTTTTCGAAGTAGCACTTCTCTTTCAAGTAGAATTGACTATTCTTAGTCCTCCTCCTCCTCTAATGTGAATGTTTTTCATGGCCCCTATAACCTTTAATTGTACTTACTTGTCTACAAGTTTATCTTTGTAGTGAAACTGACCCTTTGGAGACAAGGGCTCTTTTGAATTGGCTTAAGTGCCTTTGTATTTCTAGCATGTCCCTGGCACATGGTTTGCTTCTGTCCAGAAGCAGTCTTAGAAAGGCAATAAATACTACATATTTCGCTGATAGACTGTCCTCCTTAAATCTGAGAAAAGTGATCCACATTCTTATTCATTCAGCTTTCCGTGCCTCATTTGGCATATATGTCCTATAGAAAGAGAATAACTTGCACATTTAGTCTATTTCTTTTTTTATTTTTTAATCCTCTTTTTAAAGGAAGCCCAAGGAGAGTCTAAAATAAACATAAGACCTGTTGATTTTTGCATTCAACATCTTTTATCTGTTTGTTAATTCTGATGACAGCATTAAGTAAGTGCTGCTGATATAATTATTTGATAGGTTCTATGGTGCTGGCTACTTAGCAAAAAGTGGAAAAATGCTTAGCTTTTTGTATCAACCATTAATATCCCTTTTTTCCTAGCCCTCTTTGAATCCAGAAGCTGGCAGACAGACTCAGCCATACAGACCTATTGGGACCCCTTCTGGAGTGTGGGGTAGGTAGATTTTGCCATTTTAAAGGCACAACTTTAAATTTTTCGTAGCAGAGAGAGGAACAAAAAAATCTCTGTCTCTCTTTTTGTTGTCTCTCTCTCGTTTCTTATCTCATCCATTTGCACATGGTAACTAACACCTATTAACTCTTACTCAGCCCCCAAAATACCATTGAAATGTATATGGTAGTGGAGTCAGAATACAGACAATTGAGAGCTTGTATAGTCCTGAACTTGGAAGCAGATTTTAAGCAAAGGGAGAATAGTAAAAAGCTTATAAGAAGTAATTTTTAATTAACATTGCAAATTTGCATATAACAATTGATGTGTTATTGTTGTCTCCTAAATACTTGATAGGCATATATAACAATGTATTCTAAGCAGTTAATTCTCCCATATTGCTATTCTTCTAAAGTGTTAATTTGAAAGGCTGTATAATACCACATTCTGTAGTCCATTTTGTTTAGCCAGGTTCCAATTTGCTGAGTTTTTTGTGTTTTTTGTTTTGTTTCAGCAATTATAAATGATGTTTATTATATAGGGCAAGGAAAAAATATATAAATTGTGTGTGTGTGTGTGTGTGTGTGTGTGTGTACATATATATGTGTATATATGTATGTATGTATGTATGTATAACCTTATAAAAAACAGACAAATCAGTATATTTAAAACCAACCTAATCTGTGGTTTTTGAGATCTTTGGCATTTACAAATTGGACTCTCCTAGTCCCTGTGTTAGACATGTTTAATAGCCAGGCACCTTATTGGAAAGGCTTTATCTAAATACTGGGTTTGGATCTTGAGTTTTAGAATTAAGCATGGTAGCTGTACCATTTCCCCTTTGTTGATGATACATAGCTTTGATCTAGTTTGCCTTGACGGAAGGTCCCATGGCGGTTTCCCCAGTTTCCTCATCTCTATTCCCATGCTGACAGGAGCTGCCACCCTTGGATATATTACTGTTTGGTCTGTGCCTGAGTGATACACCACATGCTAGACATGTTATGCCCCTGAAAGACTGCTAACATCTTTAGGCTTTCTGGTTGATTTATGAATTTAGAATCAAGTGCTTAATATACTAACATTTTTTCTATGGTTTCCAAGTAGTGTCACTTCTGAGAGTATCTGTTAAGTGTCAGTTCTTTGTTGAAAGTGAGGCCTCCATATAAAATCTGTGCTTTCTGTTAACCAGTAATTTTGACATTCTTTTGTTTCTCCATGGTTGTATTTCACAGAAAACCCACCTGGTGCCAAGCAAACCTCCAAAATGCTAGTCATCAAAAAAGTTTCCAAAGAAGATCCTGCTGCTGCTTTCTCTGCTGCATTCACCTCACCCGGATCTCACCATGCAAATGGGAACAAATTGTCAAACATTGTTCCAAGCGTCTATAAGAACCTGGTTCCTAAGCCTGCACCACCTCCTTCCAAGGTATGATTTGGAATCTTTGTCACAACCTTATACAGCAAAGGTTTGGGAATAAATCAGGAAAATAGTAAATTTATTTTTTTGTTGTTGTTGTTGAATCATTGACCATATATTCAGAACTTGTTAAATGTTTTCATTGTACTCTGCACACTCTCTACTGCTGCCAGCTGGATTTTTAGTAGACCTCTCATTCATTAACTTCATCTCATAGACCTGCTGGTATTTCCATTAATAGCACTGACATCCATCTAATCATTTAGCTGAATATCTTGACTGCTTCTTTCCTCTTTCTCCGTATTCATTCCCCTGTACCAAAAAATTATAAAGTCCCTATTAGTTACTCCTTCTACAATGTCCTGTGCTTTTGTCATCCCACCTTTACTATTGTTGTGTATACTTCTATTCCCTAAATCTTTCACAGAACTGCCAGAATGATCATCCTTGAACATGTCATGTCCTTTCCTAAATCCCTTCTGTGGTTCTAAACCATCTATTTAGCAGTGGTTGGTAAACTTTGCTGTAAAGGATCAGATAATAAGTATTTTAGGCTTTGCTGGTCACATACGATAATATGGTCTTTGGTCCATGGGTCATACCTTGCCATCCTATGATCTGAGAATACAGTGTCCAAACTCCTTAGTATTGATGTGTGTAATTCTTGATAGCCTAAGCTCAGTACATCTTTTACATTTTACTCCCCCTTCTTTCTCTTACCTAGGAAATCATTCTTCAAGTTCACATCATCCCCTCTGAATCCTTTTCTATCACGTACATCTACAGATCCAATTAATCCTCATATATCTGATTAAATACCACTCTGTCTCTTATGACAGTCTCTATAACACCTTATTGGCTTCATTTTTATTTCTTCACTTAGTTGTAATCTTAAAGGCAGGTTTCAGATCTTTTTTCATATCTGTATCCCTAATACCTTCACAGAAGCACGTAATAATTGCTTGAATGAATTCCAGCATCTGTAAGGAAACAAACAATTAGAATTTACTGTGGTTAAGCACAGTGTTCTGTGCTAATGAGCAGTGCAAAGAAGTATAGCATTGGTCATAACTTTCCATGAGCTGAAAGTCTAATGATTTGACAAGATAACTATGATATAAAAGTTCATGTGATTTTGTATGAATTAAAATGACAGGTCCTAATAACAAATTGTAAACAGGTTTAGAATAACTAAATTAAATGTTTACAAAGTTCAGACTGTAACTGTCAAGGAAAATTTTACTGAAAAACTGTAATTTCACTGAACTTTGAAGGATGGTTCACATTTGGATAGGCAGAAGAGTCTGTAAGAGTAATGTAAATTATAAGAGAAAAGATGGTTATATAAAAGTTCCAAAACTGGAAAACACTAGGGATATTTGAGGACTAACGAATGAACCATTTTAATTACTCCTGGTAGCACTGGACAAATATCAGGACTGAGGGTCATTATCCTACTGATAATGAAGCTTTCAGGATAAATAAGATCTCTAAGAGGAAAGAAGGAGTAAAGAATGGGAAGATAAGACTTGGGAGGAATATTTAATATTTCATAAAAGAAAAATAAGATAGTCGTGAGAACTGAGAAATTGCAATTCAGACATAGAAAAATTACTGTACTATCAAAGAAATCTGGATGGGTAAGTTTAAGATAGCAGCCAAGGTTGTCAACACTTGTCGATTGCTGATGACAGGTTGAGGAAAATACCTGAAAAATATTTTGACCTTAGGAATTTGAAAGTTTTTAGTAATCATTGAGTTGAGGTTTTGGGAAAGAAGTGTAGGGCTGAAAGAAGATTTCAGGGGATTCTGGAATTGTGTGGGTTGAAGTGGAGATAGTGGCACCTTTGAAACATCACAGTAAAAGGAAATAGAATATAGGTAGTGTCGAGGTGAAGTGAAAGGATGAAGAAAATCTTTGGGAAGAAGCCCCTGGAGACAACCTGAAATACACTTGGAAGAGGTGATTAAAGGATTATCATCCAGGAAGAAATAATGGGAAGAAAACTGAAAAGTGGAATTACTTTTGACAAGGGTTTAGGGTACTTGTTGCTCTGATGTAGAAGGGGAAAAACATGAATTCACAATGTAGCATAGAAATTAACATCAGGGCTTTGGAATAGACAGATTCCACTTGTACCTCCTTGATGATAGGACCTTGGACAAGTTCTAAGTTTCCATTTCATCATCTGTAGACTAAAGGTAATAGTACCTATCTTAAAAGGGTATTTTGAGGAATAATGAGAAAATTTTATGAAGTACCTAAAATTAGAATATGGTAAGTGCTAATAAATGGTAGCTGTTACTGTTAACATGGCCGCACCTTATGTTTGTTCCATTCCTTAAGAGTTTTATAGTTTTCCTAAGTGTTACTTCATTTGAAATGTCTACAAGTTTTCTGTTAGATAACAAAAGAATATAAAAATGAGTAAGACAATTTCATATCCTCAAGGTTCTCAAAAATCTTTAGCGGGGTGAAGAAGTGGCAAGGATAAAAATCATGATGCAGAGCTTATTAAGATCAGTTTAGCCCTGTTGTGTAGGACTAAAGTGAGGGTAGATTGAAAATTGGAAAACTGATGTAAAGGCTGCTGCTGTTGTCCTTGTGAAACGTAATGAAGCATGAACATGGATGATAAAAGTAAGCAAAGAGCCCTGACTGGTGTACTTCAGTGGGTTGGGCATAGTCCTGCAAACTGAAAGCTCGCCGGTTCAATTTCCAGTCAGGACACTTGCCTGGGTTGTGGGCCAGGTCCCTGGTTGGGGGCATGCGTGCAAGAGTCAGCCAATGTTTCTCTCACAACACTGGTATTTCTCTCTCTCTCTCTCTCTCTCCCTCCCTCCCTTCTCCCTTTTCTACAAATAAGTAAATAAAATCTTTTTTTAAAAAAAGAAAAGGTAGGCAAGGAAGGGATGTGGTGATAGCACATAAAGGGAAACCCATTAGAGGAAGAAAACAGGAGCCCTGACTGGTGTGGCTGTTGTTTGGGCATCATCCTGCAAAGCAAAAGGGTTGATGCCTGGTCTGTAGGTTCTGTCCCGCTTGCAACACTTGCAGGAGGCAACCGATGGATGTTTCTCTTGTATCGGTGTTTCTCTCCCTCTTTTCTTCCCTCCCTTTCCCTCTCTCTAGAAAGGAATAAATAAAATCTTTTTAAAAGAAAAGAAGCAAGACACTGAATATTCTTCCCTGAGAAACTGGAATAATTATGGGACCGTATCACTGGAGTTAGAGAAATGAGAAAAATCGGTTTCAGGAAAAAGATGAAAGTAGTTCTGGGTACCTTGAATGTGAGATGTTAGAGGAAAGAAGAGGTGAGATGACTAGAATGACTAGTAGGCAGATGTGGAGTTATCCGTTCATTTTCTCTAGGTGTTCAACAAACAATTACTAAACACTGACTAGCTATGTACTAAAATCTGTGGGTCACTAGAGGCACAAAATAATCTCAAAGAGTTCACTGTCTAGTAAAAAGACAGTAACTGTGCTCCTCTGCTTGGAGAGGGTCATATTTGAACTGGGTTTTGAAGTAGCAAAAGAAACAACTGCCATTTGTTGATATCTTACAGTATTCCAAGATATTAACTAGGCCTTTTACATACATTATAACATTTGCTCCTAATTCTAACATGTAGAAAATTATGTAATGAGGTTATATAGCTAACGGAGCCTGGACTCTTAAAACTAGGTTTGTCTGACCTCAAATCACAGCTCTTTCCACTGCCCAGAATGCCTCCCACTGTGAAGGATAAAAAGGAGAAAGTTGAGAGTTCAGTTTTTATAGTCAGACTTTATACCACTCTGGACTGATTTTGAGCAAGTTACTTAATTTTCTTAAACGTACATTCTTAAAAACAAATTTGGAAGTAGGGAATATAAGGGAACTAAAAGGTAATGTAAAAAAAATACAGTGTACCATGGCTGATATGGCTCAGTACATTAACCACTGGCCTACAAACTGAAAAGTTGCTGGTTCAGTTCCCAGTCAGGACATATGCCTGGGTTGCAGGCCAGATCCCCAGCTGAGAGCATGCAAGAGGCAGTCAGTCAGTGTTTCTCTTCCTCTCTCTCCCTTCCACTCTCTCTAAAAATAAATAAGTAAAATCTTCAAAAAATAAATATAATAATGAGTTTTAAAAAGAAAATAATTGTAATCTGTCACATAACTGTGGTAAAAGAATGAATGAAGTTTAAAGTTTTAATAGTATTTGCAGTATAGTACTAACACCTCCTAAGTAGTAATAGTCAGTAAATGATCATTTAAAAATAGGAATTTATTAGGGAGTAAGTAAGTGGGACATTCTAGGCAGAAGAACTATTAAAAAGTCAAAGCATGCTATGTTTGGGAAAAGGCACCTGATTAAATGTGGCTGGTAGTTGGGAAGTGGTGGTAGGAAGTAAGACTAAAGCCAAATCATAGGGGTCTTTATAGAAGTGCAGGATACATCTTAGGGGTAGAGATACAAGTTACATACTATCAATATGATTTTAATAATAATTACAAGTTACCAAATAGCTAATTTTCCTGATGAAGTTCGCCTAGGAATAGATTACAACAGAAGAACAATGAGGCTAGACCCCTAGAGAATGCAGTGCAACATCAAGGAATGGAGAAGGGAGAGAGGAACAGAGAAGTGAAGATGAACGATCGTCTCTCATTCTCCAAAAACAGACTTTTAAGAACTGGCCTTTGAATATAATATATAGAACAAGATTTATTGAAAGAGCTGGTTTATTAAAATGCGGGTAGAGGTAAGTGTCCCAGGGAATTAAATAGTGACTAATAATGAAGTGAAAAACAGTGGATACTGACTTAGGGTGAAAAAATTAAATAAAAGGAGGATAGTATAAGGGAAAATAAATCTGTTTGGTTCCCCCTGCCCCCACAACTTAAATAAAATAGATTAGCATGTTTGTAATAAAAAAGTGAAGCACTTAAAAGAAGGAGGTTAAAGATACAAGGGAGCCGTGGCTAGTGTGGCTCAGTGGATTGAGTGCCAGCCTGCAAACTAAAAGGTTACCAGTTCGATTCCCAGTTAGGATACATGCTTGGGTTGTGGGCCAGGTGTTCAGTTGGGGGCACGTGAGTCACAACTGATCAATACCTCTTACACATTGATGTTTCTGTCTCCTTCTCCCTCCCTTCCCCTTTCTCTAAAAAACAAACCTAAAAAAAAAGATACAAGGGAGAAAAAAATTGATAAATTCTTAAAGGAAAGAAAACAAACAGATGCAGAGTGGTAGAAGAAAGAAGCCGCCAAAGGAACTTCATGTGTGAAGAAAGGAATTGGGGGGAGTTTGGATTCAGTGGTTTCTGTTTTCAGTCCAGTAGGAAAAGGCACATTGTCGTTTGAGTTAGAAAATATTGGGGTTGATTTGGAGTTTGGAGGAAAAGAGAGCACATTTTTAAAGATTTTATTTATTTATTTTTAGAGAGGGTAAGGGAGGGAGAAAGAGATGGAAAGAAACATCAATGTGAAGCTGCCTCTCGCACCCTCCACTGGGGACCTTGCCCACAACCCAGGCATGTGCCCCAGACTGGGAATCAAGCCGGCGACCCTTTGGTTCGCAGGCCGGCACTCAGCCCAGTAAGCCACACCAGGCAGGGCAAGAGCACATTTTTAAAAGAAAACAATGGTCAATATATGGTTCATTTTAGTGTATTTCTCCATCTAATTTACCTAATAAAAAGGTGTGGTTCATAATGGTTTTCTCTAGCAGCATAGTGTTTGAGTTGCTGAACATTAAGGTCAAGTTGGAACAAAGTTGGGCAGAGATGTAGATATCCTATTGCATGTAACACTGTTTGTTAAAACTTCTGTACTACTATGACAAAAACACAGGTGTCTCTGCACCCTGCAGATAATTTAGCCTGACCTAAGCAGCCATCTTGAGTTTTCAGCAAGAAAAATAATTAATCTTTTTATCTGTCTCTTTTATCTAATCTTCTTGCATGTCCTTTTTGTGCAAAAAAATATATCACATACTGGTTGAATAACCTTGGACAAAGTGCATAACTTTCTTATTGTTATTCTCTGTAAAAAGTCAATATCATAATTTACCTGATTGAGTTAAGAATTAAACAGTATGACAGACATCTTGTACATGGTAAATAATCAGTTTATTCCCTTTCTGAAGCTTAGAATATCCTCTCGAATACCAAGAAAGAATTCTTTCCATTCAGACCCTTCCTTTGCCATAAAGGTCTTTGTTTTAATTGTTTCATTCTAGAAAAAGATGTTTTTCACTTACTTCAGCCTCACTTCATTGACATGCTTTGTCCTCCCAGTTCCCGGACAGGGTGATTGACTTTATACCCCAGCTGTGCTGCCATCATAGTTGGGGCCAGGCAGGGCTGAGCAAAAGAAGGGCCTCTGGACTAAACAGGATTGTCCCACCATTTACATTGCCTGCCATGGGCTGGAACTGCCCTTCTGCCACTGAAGTTCCTGGAAAACAGCACTTAACAGCACACCATAAAAGAAAATATTTTGAGGTCATAAATTTGGAAAATACTGTATATTATATCTGCTTCTCAAATCACATGTACAGTTAAATGCTTTGAGAAATGACCCAGTAAAGGAACCTATTGAACTTGACTCACCCGAGCATCTTCCAGGCTTATTGAACTAGAGTTCTCTGTTTAAGACATACCTATTAATATTCTGTGGGTCTTTGATTTCCATCTCCCTTTTTATTTCAAGTGCCTAAGAGGTTGCATACTTCCCAAACATGTTGAAACAGGTAAGCTCTAGGCACTCATGTTTTGAGGTAACATTACACTCTTTGCCTTATGATCTTACAGGCTTAGCTTCTGTCTGCATGTTTGTTTTGACTGATTTGTTCTTTCTTCCCATGTAGCCCAGTGCATGGAAAGCTAACAGAATGGAGCACAAATCGGGATCCCTTTCCTCTAGCCGGGAGTCTGCTTTTACCAGTCCAATTTCTGTTACCAAACCAGTAGTACTGGCTGGGAGCGCAATTTTAAGCTCTCCCAAAGAGGTGAGTGAGGATAAAGGCCTTTTCTAAAGTTGCCATTTCCCATTCACTTTTACTGAGATATATAATGTGACATGTATATCTCTAATTCTACTTCCTTTGTGGCTATACTTAACTCAAAGTTATTTATTTACTGATGATTCCCATTAGCATGTAAAGATGGGCACTAGGTAGGTGGGGTAGTTGTTCTGTGGTAGACCAGGGTCAGCCTGTGTTAGACTGACATTATGCTGATGTCTATAGAAAAATCAAAGAGGTGCTATGTAAGCCATTAAGCCTTAACTGTTTAAAAAAAAAAACACACAAACCTGAAGTCTGTTTAAATGAAAAGGATAGTTTTTTGGGTTTTGTTTTGTTTTTGCTAAAAGATGGAATGATAAAAGAGGCTACCAGATTCTAGAAATTAGTACCATGTACACGTGACCCAGAGAATCCCAGTTCTCGCTGCTACTGTCAGGAACAACTTATATGTGATATTTGCAGAGTCCCTCCAGCACCACTCCTCCAATTGAGATCAGCTCGTCTCGTCTGACCAAGTTGACCCGCCGAACTACCGACAGGAAAAGCGAGTTCCTAAAGACTCTGAAGGATGACCGGAATGGAGACTTCTCAGAGAACAGAGACTGTGACAAGCTGGAGGATGTAAGAGATAAGATTTTTCTGGGGCAACATAGGTGTTTTGCTGTTATCTATGTGCGCCGCCCCCCCTTATTAGGAGAAAGATGTGGCAAGTTTTTTAATGTACAGAGAAGTGTCGAGGAGTAACAATCTGTGGTAGAGTGAGTTTAATCCTTTGTTCAACAGATTGCAAATTAGGATTTGTTTTAATGATAGTTGCCTTGGGACTTGGTGTTTTTAAACACAGCGACACTGCTTAAGTCTTGAATTGGTCGGTTCTGTAAGAACTTGGTAAATTATAGAAGCTTTTGTCAGGAATATATTTTATTGCTATATAAGAACATAAGTGTCTAGTCGTCTCTGCCACAGCTGACAAAATCTGTAGATCGTGGCCAGTTGGTATCCTTTGGAAATCTTAGCAAGGTGAGCAAGTCCTCATTTTTAAATGGGGAAGTCCTGTGGGCTGCAGTTGTCTTCCTGAAAGCATTTCCCTGGGTTCTGTAGATTGCATCTCTTGCCACAAAGGATTGTTAAACCAAGTGTGTTCTTTTCCTTATTGCAGTTGGAGGAAAACAGCACACCTGAACCAAAGGAAAATGGAGAAGAAGGCTGTCATCAGAATGGTCTTCCTCTCCCTGTAGAGGAGGAAGGGGAGGTCCTCTCACAGTCTCTTGAAGCAGAGCATAGGTACGTGAGTACCAGATCACAGGGCGTGCTGTGTGTGGCCTGCAAGGAACTGGACAGTACTTAGGGCAGCACCGCCGATCGAGCCCAGCGTACAGAAAGAAGTCCCACACTCACCCTAACCTGTTCTCCTGGTGTGCCTCAGGTTGGCCTGTTTCTCGGCGGGCATTCCTTTACAGACTCAGCCAGCCTTTTCACTCTTCTTTATGTGGAATTTAGTTTCAGACTCAGTTCATGGCTCCAGTTGATATGGGGAGAGGGGGACCTGTTTCTAGGGACTGTTGTACTCTCCTCTTGGACCCTTCTGGCCCAACTGAACAATTTCACATAAGACCCCTTGAAGGGGCCTTGGTTGGAAGTCATGAGACCCCCATGTCTGGAGCTTATTCTTTAAATGAGGGCCTTGAACACAGAGCAGCCAGCTATCTGGGCAGCTGATGGCACAGGAGGCCCACCAAATACGATAGTGCCTTCCTGAAAGGAGGCTCCTGTCCAGAGGAACTTTAGGGGTCACAAGGTTATAAAGGAGACCATAATGCCATGAAATTTAAAGAGAACTTCAGTACACGTGGAAATACGCTAATTTGCTCACGAGAGAAAAGTGAGATTTATTCATCTGTTTTGTGTATGGGACAGAGGGGGGTCCTTGCAGTTTGACTTTTTTTTTATGCTCTTATTTTCTGTGGCTTTTCATTATCTCTGTAGCTCTTAGGCTCTGGAAAGAGCAACTGTGAAGATCCCCCTTTTAATAATAAGCACCTAAATAGCAATAATTAAAGCTTATCCTACTGGGGAGAAAAGATGAACCTAAATTTCTTCTCTAACATCCAAGTGGGTACCATTGTCCCTGTGCAGGAAAGTTTTCTGTGGAAAGTTGTGTGCTTCCCACTTACGACTTAAAGCTGTCATGTTTTCTGTGCCTGGCATGCCGCCTCCAGGTTATTGAAAGCAATGGGATGGCAGGAGTATCCTGAAAATGACGAGAATTGCCTTCCCCTCACAGAGGATGAGCTCAAAGAGTTCCACATGAAAACAGAGCAGGTATGTTATAAACCTTTCCTGGAGACCAGTTAACGAGAAGGAGAATGAGGAGTCAGGATAGTCATTGCCCTTAAGGAGTCCAATGTAGTGTGAAAAAACCTGGCAAAGAAAGTATAAAGTTGTCATAGTAGAAATACAGAAAAGCATCTGAATCCGCCTAGGCAGCAGGTGTGCTGGAATTGTGGAGATTGGCAGTTACGCTACACCACAGTCATGTCTATTATGTGCTGTAATGGAGGGGTCGTCATGGTCATGAAAAAGAAAAACTGTGGCTATCGCTGCCAACAGGCATTTCAGGATCCAGGCCCAGATGGTGAACACAGGTTTCCAGAAGCTCTTTCCCATGAGTGACTGGCTGTACATCAGCCTGGCCAGGCTAGTCACCAACACCCAGACTGTTGCCCACTGTCTCAGGTTCCAGTTGAATCTGTATGAGCTGAAGGAAGGTTGACAGATCAAGTTTTACACCCTCTTGAGCATGGTGGTCTACCTCTTGTATAAGAAACGGTTTGGCCCCTACTACACTGAGCCAGTCCTTGCTCGGTTGGACCCGAAGACCTTTAAGCCCTTCATTTGCTCTCTAGACCTCATTGGCTGCCCCAGTGACCGACGACTTTGTGGTCAGTGGCACCCACACCACACAGATGTACAGGATGTCCGAATCCCTCTGGGAGCCCAACATAGGTCCAGAACACCTATGCAAAACCATCTTACAAGCCGTGCTGAATGCTGTGGACCGTGATGCAGTGTCAGGCATGGGAGTTGTCATCCATGTCATTGAGAAGGACAAAGCACCACCAGGACGCTGAAGGCCCAAATGGACTAATCCTGTGTTCCCAGAGTCCACTTTTTTTTTTTTTTAACAAAGTAGTTTTTCTAAAATAATACTAATAAAATAAATGTGCCTAGGCAGTAGGGATATCCAGTGTTACATACAAAAACCAGGTCAATAGTGGATTTCAGTAGGTAGTATGTTCTTTCATCATGGAAGCTTTAACCCCCTATCAGGACCACAGGACTGTGTTCCACTGTTACGGGGTTGAGCCCTTGGTTCCTAAGAAAGCTGGCTTTTCCTCTGCTTTTAGCCCTGTGGGTTTTTTTCTGGTATCTGGCCAGAGCCAAGAAGCCAAATTTATTCAGCAAATGCTTAGATTCTTTCTCTGAGTAAAATACTGCCAGACCTTATATATGGTATACACAGTGTATATGGGGCAGTGCTGTAACAGTGGAGACCAGGGGGTGTCTACAGACCTCATGGAGCTTATGTCCTATTGGAATATATTTAAAGCATAAATAACAATTGTGTCCTCCTATAAAGCAAAAATACAGGCTGACTAAAAGACTTTGCTGTTCAGAACTCTGTTTCTCTATCATTGTCATCACCTGAGAACTTAGAGAAATATCTTAAAAGGCTCTCCCAGCACATGCCTTACATTGCTCTTTGTGTGTGTGCACGCGCGCACACTGATGTCTGATAGTGCTGCTATAAGAAATCTTCGATCTGTTAGAAGGGTCCTCCCTCTACATTCTGCCTAGAATTGAGTTGAGGCCTGGCTTTCCCAGGTCCCATTGGCCAGTATAGATATTGATGTTCTGTTATTTTTCCTTCTGTCCCATGCTTACCACAGCTGAGAAGAAATGGCTTTGGGAAGAATGGCTTCTTGCAGAGCCGCAGTTCCAGCCTGTTCTCCCCTTGGAGAAGCACTTGTAAAGCAGAGTTTGAGGACTCAGACACGGAAACCAGTAGCAGTGAAACATCAGATGACGATGCCTGGAAGTAGGCATATAAATGTTCACAGTTAAATCTGACCCATGAACTCAGCTCGTGTGCTTACGGAATATACAAAAGAAATTTTCTTTTCCTTTTCTTATGTTGTTGAATATTTCATGCACAAGGGAAATAATCATATCCCAAAGAGAGAGAGATTGACTTGTTTAGCTTTTGTTGATGTTCTTCCTGTTATCTGCTTAATAGAGAGATTTGTATGGTGGGAAAGATTTTTAAAATACACACACACAGTATATATGGGGCGATGCACAAGTGGGAGCTGGCGGTGCAGAGAGGAAGAGACACTGGTCTGCAACAATAGCTTCCACCAGCCCTTGGGGCACTCACCCCTGTGCTCAAGCAATCATTGTCAATGACAAAGTGACTATTGAAGTTATAATTGTATTAAATTAATGCTAGTAATTTGGATATTTTATTTTATTTTTGGCTGCTCGGGTAACATTAGCCCTTAACTAAGCATATGTGGGTTTCTTTTTTTTTTGTTTCTTTTTTTTTTTTCTTTTTTTTTTTTCTGATTTTCCTTTTTTTGGGTACAGCTGTAAAATATTTGGATATAGGAAATGTGTTATTCCTGCAGCCTTGATATTCAGGGTGGATTGTAAAATATAAATTTTTGTGAGATTTCGAAGATTAAGATTATTTTGATAACATTATTTACAGATTTAAAAGATGTGGTTATCACAAGTCTTGAGGGGGAAACTACTGCATAAAATAACTAACTTGGAATAAATATTTTGCATCAGTTTGGATTGTCTTGTGTAAGAAGTCTATTTTCTTTAAAATTAGATGAGTGGTTTCTTTTTTAGGGGAAAAGCATCTGGCAGTCTGAGTAACATCTGAATCATACACAATTGTTTCTCCTTTTAGCAGCTACTTTTTTGATGCAGAAAACCTGTGCAATAAATTACCAGTAATAAAATCAGAAACCCAAGTTTCTTTCCTGAAGCTTTTGCTCACTGCCCTTGTATTTATGAATGTACATATTTTAAGGAAAGCCTGTGTCTCAATTTTCCTGATATATAAGAACATAGGAGAGGCCTGGCTGGTGTGGCTCAGTGGACTGTCAGCCTGCGAACCAAAAGGTTACTGGTTCAATTCCGAGTCAGGACACATGCCTGGGTTGTAGGCCAGGTCCCCAGTTGGGGCCTTATGAGAGGCAACCACACATTGATGGTTCTCTCCCTCTCTTCCTCCCTCCCTTACCCTCTAAAAATAAATAAAATCTAAAAAAAAAAAGAACAACACAGGGGAAACGATTTGAACCATTGCTGGCTGGGTGGCCAGTGGAGGAGGCAAGTGTTTTTGTATAACAAATACTCCCCAGGCTCTTTTGTATCCCAGGCATCTTTAAGGCTCTGGGGGTTATAAGGAGTGCCCAGCCCAGTAAGGAAGGGAATAAACAGTTACATTAAAAATGAAACCGTAGGCCAACATCTCATGGACAAGCAGAAGTTAACAGGTACTTACTGACACCGGTACTCTGACTCTTCCTACATAGTCTCTAGTGGATATAGAAGACCAAGATCATGTTATAATGGGCAACAGCAGAGGAGCAACAGGCCTGACTTCATATTAGATACTAACCGGAAGTGTGGGCTCTAGAAGGAGTGCAGGCTACAGACTAGAATGACATTTGTTAGATTCTAAAGGTTAAGAAGGCAGAGGCCCTATCTGCCATACTGTACTACAGTCTCTTCTGCCAGCAGTGTAAGCAGTCCATGTGCAAGCTGAGGGAATAGTGGTTGAAATAGAGCAGTAAGAACTATGCCATATTTCATGGAATGTGTATACTTTAAGACGTTATTTCATATAATAGAAAACATTGTTAGGACACTCCATTAGTTGTGAATCCTGATTTCAGCATTAAAAAATGTGCATCTTAGAATCGATGAAATACAGGCCTTGGCCAGGTAACTCAGTTGTTACAATGTCATCCCAGTATACCAAAATTGTGAGTTCAATCCCTGGGTGGGACATGCATAAAAGCCAACCAGCTTCCGGTCAAGATGGTGGTATAAGCAGACATGGTTTACCTCTATGCAACCACAACAAACTCACAACTAAAATACAGAAAACCTATCACTCAGAACTGTAAGAAGTTGAGTTGGATGGAAGTCTGACGACTACAGAATTAAGGAAACCACATCCATCCGGACTGAACTGGCAAGCTGGTGCCATATCTGAGACTCCCATCAGCCTGGCTAACACCAATTGACCTGCCTTGGACATCCTCGGAGACCACTGTACTCAACTTCTTGGCCCAACCAAGGTGCTTTTCCATATAATTGTTTGGTCTTGGCTCATGCTTCACAAATTTAAACCCTATCTAACAACCAATATCTGGCCTCAGTGAGCCCCAGGCCCATGTAACAGCAGCCAACCTAGATTCACAGCTGGGCTTTGTCTAGGAATCCAAGCCCAGCACCAGTAGCAGGCTTCTCAGGTTGCTTTATAGCTCAGGCAGGATAGCCCTGGGCAAAGCAGAGGTGGGGGTTGATCTTGACCTGCACCACCCAGGAAAGCCCACGGTCAGTGCACCCAGTGGACAGCTACAGACTTCATTAGAGCACTACCACCCTGCCCCTGCACAGCTGATCCTCCACAGAGGGAAGAGTTAATAGTAAGTGGTCACACTAACCACTGCAGCTGACTGGCCTGAGTAAATCCCTCCCATTGATCTGCCAACAGCAACTAAGGCTGAACTGCAAGAGGGTGTAGTCAGCCCATACAAAGAGCACACTTTGATAGGGGAAGCTGTGCCACTGGACCCTACAAGACACCTACTACATTAGGCCACACTATCAAGACACAGAGTCAGAGCAGCTCTACCTAATACATAGAAACAAACAGACTGCCAAAAAGACCAAAATAATAATAATAAAAGAACAGATCAAAATGTCAGAAAAAGATCTAAGCAAAATGGAGATAAGCAATCTATCAGATTCAGAGTTCAAAGCACTGGTTATAAGGATGCGCAAGGAACTTAGTGAGGAACTCAACGGCATAAGGAAGGTCATCATAAATGAAGGATACATGGAATAATTGACAGGAAAACAATAGTGGAGTGGGTGAAGCCAAGAATCAATGGTTTGTGACATAAGGAACCAAAAAAAAAAAAAACAACCAATCAGAAGAAAAGAAAACATTAGGAAAATATAAGCAGCCCCTGGGACAACTTCAAGAGGTCCAATATTTGCATCATAGGGGTGACAGGAGAAGAGTATGAGCAAGAAATTGGAAATTTATTTGAAAAAATAATGAAATAAAACTTACCTAAATTGGTGAAGGAAATAGACATGCAAATCCAGGAAGCAGAGTCCCACACAAGATGGATGCAAATAGGCCCACTCCAAGACACATCATAATTAAAATGTCAAAGGTTAAAGATAAAGAGAGAATCTTAAAAGCAAGAGAAAAGAACTTAGTTACCTACAGGTGCTCTGAGACAAAGAAATATGGCCCAAATGAAAGAACAGATCAAAGCTCCAAAAATAGAACTAAACGATCAACAGATAGCCAACCTATCACATGCACAGCTCAAAACAGTGGTAATCTGGATGCTCAAAGAAATGGTTGAGTATGGTCCCAAAATGGAGGGAAAAATGAAGGCTATGCAAAGTGAAATAAAGAAAAATATACAGGGAACCAACCGGAAGGAAACCGGGACTCAAATCCCAGTTGGGAGCAAAAGGAAGAGATACACATTCAACCAGAACAGAATGAAGAAACAAGAATTCAGAAGAAATGGAGAGGCTTAGAAACCTCTCAGACAACTTTAAATGTCCAACATCCAAATTATAGGTCTGCCATAAGAAGAAGAGAAAGAGCAAGAAACTGAAAACTTATTTGAACAAATAATGAAGGAGAACATCCCCATTCTGGCCAAGGAAATAGACTTCCAGGAAGTCCAGGAAGCTCAGAGAGTCCCAAAGAAGTTGGACCCAAGGAAGCACACACCAAAGCACATCATAATTACATTCCCCAAGATTAAAGATAAGGAGAGCATCTTAAAAGCAGCAAGATGAAAGGAGACAGTTATGTACAAAGGAGTTCCCATAAGACTATCAGCTGATTTCTCAAAAGAAACCTTGCAGGCAAGAAGGGGCTGGCAAGAAGTACTCAAAGTCATGAAAGGTGAAGGCCTGCACCCAAGATTATTCTGTCCAGCAAAGCTCTCATTTAGAATGGAAGGGCAGATAAAGCGCTACCCAGAAGGTCAAGTTAAAGAGAGTTCATCATCATCAAGCCCTTACTATATGAAATGGTAAAGGGACTTGTCTAAGAAAAAGAAGATCAAAAACTATGAACAGTAAAATGACAACAAATAATTATCAACTGAACCTAAAACACAAAAACAAAAAAGCAAACTAAGCAAACAACTAGAACAGGAACGGAATCACAGAAATGGAGATCAGAGGGGAGGGGAAGGGGGAAGAATGAGGGAAAAGGTACAGGGAATAAGAAACATAAGTAGTAGTAGGTACAAAATAGACAGGCAGAGGTTAAGAATAGTATAAAAAAATGGCCCTGGCTGGTGTGGCTCCTTGGACTGAGTGCCAGCTTGCGAACGAAAGGGTTACTGGTTCGATTCCTAGTATAGGGCACATGCCTGGGTTGCAGACCAGCTCCCCAGCAGGGGGCACACAAGATAAAATCACACATTGATGTTTCTGTCCCTCTTTCTCCCTCCCCCTCTCTAAATAAATAAAATCTTCTTAAAAAGAAAAAGAAAAAATAGTATAGGAAGTGGAGAAGCCACAGAACTTATATGTACGACCCATGGACATGAACTAAGAGGAGAGGAATGCTGGTGGGAGAGGCAGTGCAGGGTGGAGGGGAATAAAGGGAAGATAAATAAAAACAAAAAATAAATTAAAATTAAAAGGGGGTCTTATTTAGGAACCTGAGTCTAGTTCAGAGATCCTGCCTCTGATGTGTATATATATTTCAGGAAGCGGCAGAGAGATTTGGCCAGCAGGAATGGGCCTATTTGGCCCCTGGCTGCTGTCAAATGAAGGTACCTTTCTATATATGATTCCCTCATCCCATAGACTCATTGTGTTTTCTCAGAATTTTCATTCATTGTGCTATGATGATTATCCCCCCTCTCCAGCTAGAAAAACAGGAAACAGAATTGGACTTACGGAGAGATTGCCAGCCTTAATGGGACTTAGTTATGAAAAATCTATGGTTGTTTCCAGAGAGGCACAGTGCAAGGAAAAGCTTTTCAGTCTAGTCTAAAGACATGGGAGTAATGCTCAGAGGTCTGGCAGATCTGCGTCTTGCTTCAACAGTATTTGGACAGAACAGACCCAGTGACTCCCCTTCCAGTCTCCCACCGCCTTCAAACCTCTTTTCCGGTTGCAATTTCAGAACCAACTCAGTGATCCTTGGCCTTCGGGACCAGCCAATACCTTTTTTCTTTTTCTTTTTTTATCTTAACCCCTTATTGCCAAGCAACCACGAGCTCCCAGATATGTCAGAATAATTTCACCAATGTGACCACCGTCAACCACCTGGTTAACTTGCATCTGTGGGCCTCCTACTCCTTTTCTTTGAGCTTCTATTTTGATGCAAGGTCGTGGCTCTGCAGTGCAAGGGCCACTTCTCAAGATGGCTAAGGAGAAGCACAAGTGCACCAAGCACCGCTTAGAGATGTAAAACAAGCAGCTACACTCTCTTTCAGGACATGCAGAAGCCTTTCCAAAATGAGTAGGGTAAAATCCAGGACACCATAGAAGCCTCCATGGTCATAGAGAAGAAGCTGAACCTGGCCCTTTTGGGTCTGCATGTCCTGGGTTTAGCCCGCAGACCCCATTTCTTAACTTCCTAGAGGACCACTTCCAATTGATAGATGAGGTGAAATTCATCAAGGAGATGGGTGACCACCTGACCAACCTCCACAGGTCAATAGCCCCCAGGCTGGACTGGGTGAATATCTCTTCAAAAGGCTCACCTTCAAACATGACTAGGAGCTTTTGGAGCCCAGAAACCTTTGAGGGGCTCCTCTGTGTCCCCCTGGTGTTAGGCTCTGCCTGAGCCTCTCCCTGCAACTCCTGGCAGCCTTTTAACCACCATGAAGCCCTCTCACATGCCCTATACCAAATGGGAACAAAGGTTTTTGCAAAAGAAAAAGAAGACGAAGACGTGGTTTGCTGGCAGAAGGCTCATAAAGGCAGACAAGGCAGTCTGCCTACTCTGTGTTCAAGGAATGGAGAATGACACTAATTTCGTTTATATCCACTTGGGCAAAACAAGGATGAACAAGATGACACTTCCCTGCCAAAGGCTGTGATCAATGATGGAGTGTGTTGCATGGGCCCAGCTAGCCTAGAAGGCACTGCTCATTCCCCTTGATTGTATTAATATTGGCAGAAAAAACAAGATGTAACATTAGAGACTCTCCTGTCTCATGCAATGAGGTGGAGCAGACTTTGTAACATTTTTTCAAGCCAGAGCCTCTTCCCGCAGGTCACCAAGCCTTCCACACCCATTCTCCAGACCTGCCCAGACCTGTAGTTGCGTGGGGAGCTAAGGCTCCTCCCCAAACAAACTTGATACTTTAAAGACCCAATAAGCCTCTCTCTGCCTTTCCTCTCTGCCTCTGGCTTTCTATTTCACCCTCCTTTCTCTTTTCCCTACTCTCTGTCCTGTCTTCTTCAGGCCTTGGTTTGGTGTCTAGGAAGGGGTTCCATCCCATGGCCTCCCACTCTGGGAAGCCAGGGCTCCTGCCCTGTGGGTCCTGTGGCATGGTTTTCCGCTCCTGGGCCCTCTTGGCCACTCATACTCAGCGCTTCTGCATAGGCCGATTGACCCAGGAGGTGACACTTGGAGCACAGCCCTCAAAAGGCTCGGAACCACAAGGCCCCATGGTAAGGGTCTCCCCCATGGCCATGAGCGGTTATTCAAGTAACCCTGACCCTCAGGATTCCTCACCCCACATGCTGTACCCAGGTTGTGTCACAAGAACACCAGGGCTTACCAGACCAGGAGGCCAGCAGATCGGCTCTAAGGAGGCTAACAGAGGAGGTACACTGGGCGCTGCACACGGGCTTGAATCTGAGCATCCTCCCCAAACCTATTGATGATTCGTGGGTCAGATTAACCCTATAAGCAGATCGCGGGTTACGGTAATCTCCAGGTGCAGGGACTGCGGCTGTATCTGCAGGAAATGCAGCCCCGGATAACAGTGATTCCCAAGGGGTCCGAGGAGCTCTGGGACCATTCAAAGACTCCGACCCAGGGTCCCACCTCCCGGGCCGCTGGGAACCCCGGGGAGCGGCTGCGGGAGCTGCACAGGAATCACAGGAGGCGTGTGGCAGAGACAGAGGCACAGAACCGGGCTCTGGAGCTATGCAGTGAAGGTGAGGGGAAAAGGGAGGGGAGAAAGGGACACTAGGGTCATTCCTTGGTCTGAGGTTACCCGAATCTATTCTCACTTGGTCCCTTACTCAGGACTGAACCGGCGCCTCCAAGGTTTGGCCCGGACCCGGGGCAGTATATCACGCCTGTTAGGCCTGGAACGGGAGCTTCAGGAACTCAGGGCCGAGGCCGGGCGAACAAGGGGAGCTCTAGAGGCTTTAGGAACGCGCGTTCAGCATCTGCAGGCCGAGCGCCGGTGAGACCTCGCGCCAGGGATCCCGGAGCGCCGCGGGGCGGGCCTGCTAGCCGGGTTGGGGCCTGGGGAGCCCAGGAGGGGCCGGACACACACAAGACTTAGGTCTGGAAGCCGAGGGAAGGCAGTACTTGTGAGTTCGGGAAGGGGCGGATAGGCCAGAGGTGTGGGCCCGTGACAACGCCCCCACTCCAGGACCGAGCTGAACTCCATGCGAGAGGCAGAACTCTGTTGTCCGGTGCTACAGTCCAAACCAGGGACTCTGGCTGCTGAGATCGGGTGAGGTCCAAGGTCCGGGGCCCGGGGACGGCCACGGGGCGAAGCGCTGATCAGTCCTGAAAAGACGCTGTTGCCTTCTTGTCCCCTACTCCCTAGAGCCCTGCGTGAGGACTACATTCGAGGTGGGGGCCGGGACCTCGGCGTTCTAGACCAGATATGGCAGTTGCAAGTGGAGGCATCAGCTCTGGAGCTTCAGCGGTCGCGGACGCGCAGGGGTGGACAGGGCTGGGGGCAGGGCGGCGGGGAAGGCAGCTAGGAGGGCCTCTCGGAAGCAGTGGTCTTAATGTTGGAAGGAGAAAAGGGCGATGAGGGAGGGCATATTTGGCATGGAAACCATTTAAGCAAAAACCCCGAGGTAGAAAGAAAACCTGGGTGGCCTTTTTGTGGCACTTACTAGAATGTTACTTAACAAGTACACACTTGCCCAGAGAGTTCTAAGGTTGAAGAGGTGTTCAGAGCCAGACCAAGCTGGTCACCAGCAGTCAAAGGTGACAGGTCACACTTGTTCGTCACAGGAAGGCCAGCAGGTTCCACATCTGGGGAGCTTCTAGTAGTGGAGGCTGAAAACCGGCACCTGGAGGCAGAAATCCTGGCTTTGCAGATGCAGAGGAGTGCAGGCCCTGCACCCTGGGGTCAGTGAGCACCTCAGGCCCACCCTGCTAGCCCTCCCCAGATGGCCGAGGTTAGAGAGAGACCGTGCATGAGGAATGAGATGCTTGTTTGTGCCCATCTGTGTCCTTGTGCTTCTCCAGAAGTCCATGTGTGGGGGTATGGCTCTCACGGCAAGGTTATCAGCCCAGTTACTTGTGTTCTGCTCAGAGGTGCCCCACTCTTCCTCCTCTCCTAGGGTCCGGGGAGCCACAATTTGTGGCCAATCCCAGCCCACGCCTGAGAAGGGAAGATCCTCCACACCTCCCACCACCGGTGGCTCCCCCGCTGCCATCGCTCCCACACTCCACAGGCATCTTATTCTTGGGTGGCACAGAAAAGACCGTGAGGACCCAAGGCTTGGGGTGGGGACAGCTCTGCTCTGTATATTTTGGGGAACATAGGCACCAAGGAAGCTTTCTAGAGGACTTGACTCTTCCTCACAGTGGCAGCTTCCTGGAGCCATGACCAAGAGCCTGGGCCTGGATCCACACTTTGTTCTGCCCACAGCTGATGTTCTGGGTCCTGCACCGTATGACCCTGGGTGAGGCCTGCTCCCTCCTTTGACATCCTCTGTGACTTGGTCACTGAAGCTGGTTAAGGTCCAGCTTGGGTTGGAGAAATGACAGGGGGCTTTGGGGACGTGGGGAGAGGTGTGTGTGGAGGCCCACTGCGACCTGTATTTCCAGGGCTGGCCTGGTCATTTTCTATGACTTCCTGCGGGGCCTTGAGGCTTCTTGGATTTGGGTGCAACTAATGACTGGCTTGGCCCGAGATGGACAGCATACAGGAGGCACCACAGCTTTGCCCCCAGCCCTTTGTTTGCCCCCTCCTCCAGCTCCTGGGCCCATGGGCAACTGTGCCATTCTTGCCAGCAGGCAGCCTGTACCCAGGTCAGTAGGTGGGAATTACGGCTTTCATGTCCCTTGCCATGTTTTCTCATCTGGCTGTGGACCAAGTTCTAGGGAGTTACGCCAGTCCTGGCTTCGTGCCTCTTCGTTACTTTAGGCTACCACCCTCACCATCAGTGTCCTTGGTCTGTGAGCTACAAGCCTGGCAGGGGCTGGCATGGGCCAGGGTACCACAACCAAAGGCCTGGGCCTCACTGGTGCTCTTTGACGGGAATCAGAGGGTACTAAGTGGCCGCTGGCGTCTTCCACTTCGGGCCCCTCCCCTGGACCTCAGCCTTGGCCCTGGACAGCTGAATGGAATTCCCCAGGTGAGTGTGGAAAATGGGGACCAAGTCAACTGAAAAGTACAGATACTGTTATCATTTCACCTCTTCCCAGGTAAGTCAGGCTGAGCTCTTTTTGCGGCTGGTGAATGCAAGAGATGCAGCCGTCCAGACACTAGCAGAGATCAATCCAGCAAATGCCCACGACTATCAGTACCCACCTCCGGTGAGGGCTCAACTGGAGCTAGGTATACCATGGATGTAGTTTGTGTGGTAATAGCCAGACTTTGTTGGTAACTCAGTATGTGCCAAGTCACTACCAAATACTTGCTTTCTGTGGATTGTGGCCCTCACACATCCTATTAGGTAAGTGCTATACAAACAGGTAAGGAAATCAGAGCACAGGATTAACTTGGTTCAGTTAGACTCTAAGATAGTCCAATCCAACTCCAGAACTTGTGCTGTTAACCTCTATATAAACCTTGTGCTAAAAACCTGCTTTCTCCCCGTTCTACAGGTGTCCAGCTCATCTTCCCTGGAAGCCAGCTCTCTTGCCCCAACAGCTGGCTTCGTTGACCCCCCTCCTCCTGCAGGAGAGCCCCTTGGCAGCAGTCAAGGATAGAGATGAGGGCTTGCGCCTGCACCATCTTTGACCCACTCCTACTGGCTTTCTGAGTCCAGGAGGATGTGGTACAAATAGCTTGTCCCGTGTACTAGGGCCTAGAATGAGGCCTATTCCCACAGCTGCAGCTTTATTACCATTCTGACGAAATATCTAGAAGCAAAAAGCTGGGGCACTTTAATCACACCTAAAGTAACTCAATAAACTCATGGCTACTTGTTTTTTCCAAAGTCAATTTTATCGCCACACTTCATTCAACTCCATTTTCTCAGGACAATCCTCAGGAAGGCTTCCAGGCTCCCAAGGCCCCCACAAACAGGAAGCTCTTGTAGCCTTATGTACTCACACATCGGAGGCAGGGTCCAAACCCAAATGTGTGTGTGCGTAGGGAATGTTCACATGCGAAAGCAAGCTGAAATTTTGTATTGGTTCTGACCCCAAACCCCAGCGTCAAAGACCTCTCCTCTACACACAAAAATTTCAGGACTTGCAATAGGGCATCTTTGGGAAGGAATTTCACAGCAAGATTCTGTAGCCACCTGTAACCGCCCCAGAGAAACTCAACCACTTTATTATTTAGAGCAGGGGTCCCCAACCTGCGGGTACCAGTACAGGTCTGGGCCTGTTAGGAACCTGACTGAACAGTAGGAAGTGAGCTTCAGTGTAATGTGCTTGAAAGGTCCTGAAACCACCCCCTCTCCCCCACCACCCGTGGAAAAAATTCTTTCACAAAACCTGACCCTGGTGCCCAAAATGTTGTGAACCAGGAAGCCCAGATAGGACATTCTGGCTCTGAAAACAAAAGGCTGGGGACTGCTGATTTAGAAAACAGTAAACTCTGGAAAAATGGAATTTACTTGATAATCAGCAGGGCTCCCTCTGCCTCCAATTCTGCTTGAACAGCAGGCTGTAACCTAATATCCATCTCACCCAGCCAAGTAGCCCTGTGTGTGTCATCTCATCAAACCCCCTTAGAGGGCAGGCTGTGTGGAATCTGGAGCCAAAGAGTACTGAGTGCATAGCACGTTCTTAAACTAAGGGTCAGGTCAGAGACAGCTCAGCCAGTCTTGTCTTGGACATCAGTGAGGGCCAAATGGGATGGCTCTAGTACCAGGTACCCAAGCACCAGCTTTCTTAGGCCGAGCAGTCAAGAGTTTCTGGGCCAGTTTCTGCCTTTTAACTACACATCCCACCCTGAAATGCTCCAGGAGGCCCAAGGTCCCACTCTAAGATCTTTAAACACAAGACCAGACCAGGAACTTTTTTTTTTTTTTTAAACCATGTTTATTTGAGAAGTCAAAACTGCAGATGGGTAACAATTCCAAGTGTTGATATATTTCAATCTTTCTGTACAGAAAACAATACAACTCAACCAACCAGCCTCCCCAGATATTTCCAACTACATCCAGGACATCCAGGACATCAGTCAGTCCCTTAGCCATTTTTTGACCAGAAAGCTCAAGTCTCCACAGTCAGCACACCAGTTTTCCTCAAGACCATCCTCCCTCCCCAGTTTTCTTTAGGAGTGTTTCCCTGCCACCCCCAAGACAAGATTATGGCCTTAGTTGGAGAGGAGGGGAATAAAAAACAGGTACCCCCCAAGGCCTGGCTTAGAGGCTGTTATCAGCTCACAGAGCCCATCACACAGTACCAGCACCAAAGAGCAAGATCTTCACCAAGTCTTGTTTTTGTAGCCCCCGTCCAGGGACAGCACCGCTGAAAGTCTGCAAGACAGCCGGGTTCAGTCAAGTATTTAAAATGGAAAAATATAGCACCATTGGGCCAGCAGCCACACTTGATCACCTACACATTAAACAGGTATTTGGATTAGAACTTTCACAGAGATCAGTTCAGAAAGGGGAAAAAAGTACCTTCGACCACTATATAAAACTGGAGTGCTCCAAGGCACAGATTCAGCCAATGTTTAAGGGGGAAAAAAAATCATCAAAGCCTCAACCTTTGCGTACAATCTTTATTGAAGTTATACAAAAAGAATCCCCCAAAAGTGAAAAAATACATTATATACAAAAACACTTTCCCTTGGGAGGAAGGCTCTCTGTTCCCTCTTAGCATGCAGTGCTTTCAACTGTAGCTCCAGCCTCCACTGTCCCCTCCACTGCTGCCCGGCTTTCAGCCTGATTCTCAGCCTGAAAGATAAACAGGGAGCCTGGGCATAAGCGACCCTTTTTCAAGTCATTCTACCTTATACAACTGAGTAGGTCTCAGTCAGAGAAAGTAAACAGGTCCCCTAAACTCTGCTTTGCTCCGTACACTAACAGGGCAATGACTGAAGTATAGCGCCAGTTTCTCAAATACTCTGTAATAGGCTTGACAGAACCGATGTTCGTATATTACATGCAAAGGAAAAAGCAGAAGTGATCCAATGGTCTCGCCAATTAAGTGTCTTCTCATATATTCAATTAGAGGGGGACCTGTAGTTTGTGTATATGGGTTTCATTTGTCAGTGAAGACATCCTATATTCTATACCAAACTGTTTCTTGCATAACCTCACTGTTTTTATGAGGGTTACACTCAAGCAATCCAAACAGGCTCAAGATGGGAAACATGCACTTGGGAGACTTGTTTCCCCAGGCCCTGAGAACAAGGGGAAATGAGGAAGGAGTCCAACCCCTGCTTAACTGCCCACCTCCTCCTCCATGTTTTCCGAAACTTCATTTCCACTGGAGACCGCATTCCCACCACCTCCGTTCACTTCCGGCTCTTGCTTGGCTTTCTTTGCATCATCTTTCCGGGGGCTCTCTTCCTCTGGTTTCCTCTAAAGATATAATTGTGTAGCCTTCACAAATGTGCTTAATATTTTTAAAAGGGCACTTGCAGGACACTTTGGGATTAACAGCTCTAAAGGTCTCACCCTAGCCACAGGAAGCAATGCCAATATGTACTCTGCAGAATAAATTGGTCTGCTCCAACACACCAATCAGCCTCTCCAATGGAACGGCAGGGTGATGGTGAGGAGTAGATATGAATGGTAAGCAAACCACCAAGTCTGAACTCCAACATTTGAATCAAGAAGTAAGCAAGAGTTAAGACTAGAACGTCTGCTACTAAATGACTGAAAGAAAACCGGCCAGCTCCTTACAATGGGCTGACTGGAACAGTCCACAATAGCTTCCCTGATACTCCTTGGGCCAGGAAGAGTATTGCTTCAAGAGGTATACAAGTGAAAACTATCTTTACTTTCAAATCCTCAGCACCTTTGCAAATACCTTTGCACCAGGTATTAGGAAAGGTACTCCTTGTATATTTGTATAAAATAAAAATAAATCACTGCATGTAGATTTACCTTCTTTCTGACAAGATGGGAAATATCAGTCACACAATTTGATGAGGAAGCACCATCTGTTGGCTTTCTACTGACAATCTGGCAAAAAGGAAGCCTCTGTTAGCAACGTGTAGCTATAAATGATAAAAAGTCCTAACATTAAGTGACCCCCCAAAACAACAAACAAACAACAAAAATAAAAAGACCCGAATAACTCACCATGGAAACTGAAGAGCCTCCTCCACTAGGAGTGAAGCCAGAAGTAGAGCTCTCTACCTGTGAACAATGACAAACACCAGTGGGTCCTAGGATAAAACCTACCAGGTCACCCACAGTCCTACAACAGTTACCCACCATCCAGGTAACTGATTAACACCTCAAATACTAGTGGCCTCCATATAGTAGCAACATTTTCTACCCTCACTACCCATACCCCCACAGCTGCTGTCTCCACATCCTGGGGCACAGGCAAAGTATAGATACTAAACTGAACCCTCCATATCCTATTAGCACCCTGACACCCTACCTCTAAAGGCAGAGCCAGGCAATCTGGGGTTAAAAGCCTTCAATACCTATACAGAGGACTTCTCAGAGATGGAAATAATTTACAATTGTTAAACAAATACTATTTTTCTTATACCATTAGAAGTAGCTTAATGAACAGATGAGAAAATTAAGGTTAGAAAAGTTAAGCAAACATGTCCATGGTCACATAGAGTAAAGAGCAAAGAAAGAAGTTAAACCCAATCTAGCTCCAGAGTGTATTTTCTTAAACACTACTAATTTAGCATTATTCTATCACGTTCCCTCTGACTTCCAAGAAGTAATTAAGATTCTTAGCAAACAGAACAGTAACACCATGATGCCTTCAATGATACTGAACATGCTATTATCAAAACTTCAAAAGGAAACCAACCAGAGTTGCTTTCAGAGCCAATTCAGCTACATTCCCACTACGTTGGGACTCCTTTGCATCTTCTATCTTCTCTCTAATTTCAGGTAGCAATTCCTTCAGCTCCTCGATTTCTTTCTCATATTCAGTAGGTGATCCTTCAGCCTCCTTCATCTGCTCATTTAGTACAGCTACAAAGAACAGGCTGAAGTGATCAGTAAGTTACCAGAAAAGGATCCACTGTTTTAACCTTGCCAACTGCAGGATCCATCAATATCATTGTGAAAACAGCTGATGCACACTTACCCATTCTCTTCTCAATGACTTCAATAGATTTGCTAAACTGTGCCACTGCCTCATCATACTGAGAATTGTACCCATAGGCCAAGCCCAACTGGTAGTGGGTCTCTGCAAGAAGACGGTCATGGGCTTCCAGGTACTGCTCTTGCAGGTTTAGACAAGCCTGGAACTCCTCCACAGCTTGGACATAATTCTCTAATGAAGAAAGAATAGCAATATTCTTCAAAATGTTGAAAGAATATTCAGCATTTAATATTACAGTACTTCCAAATGTTAAACCATTCTGGGGGAAATGCTCTCCTGATTTACGTTTCATCTATCTTCATAGTATCTCTATGATTCTCAATTATAAAAAATATCAGAATGACTTAGAAAACTTACTGAAAGACTTTTATTTAAGAGTACTTATTAGAAGAGGCCACCCACTGTTCTAGGGACTATAGGGAATCCAAACCTACTGTCCTTTTTCTGCCAACTGCCCATAATTTATAATCAAGCTAGATTTTAACGAATTTGAAAAAGACTGGGTTGGGGGCAGTGGATATCAGGGGCAAAGTAAAATGAAAAATGTATTACCAGATTCAACACTAACTTCTCCAAGTTTAAGATGTGCCTGTGCAGCATAAAGCTGAGCTTCTTTTGTTTCTTGTCTAAAAAAAGAAAAATGATCAGAAACTTTAAGAGCATTTGCCCAACCCTAACTGGTTTCTATTCTCAACCACCAAGTTCCCAATCTGAGCCTAGAAGCATCAAGAGTTTTTACCTTTTAAAAATGATCTTTGCTAAATCCAGCATATCCCAGGCAAGCTCTAGGTTCCCAATCTCCTCCTCTTCATTTTCTTGAAGTGACTAAAGTATATCCAAATCATTGGTATTAGGCAGAAGTGTAAGACAAGCATCTTTAGATAACAAATCTAAATATTGGGTTAGTAAGAGTCTGTTTAATTTTTCCCATAAAAGAGAAGACACATTTTTTTTTTTTGCCCCAGGTGGTGTGGCTCAGTGGATTGAGTGCTGGCTTGTGAACCAAAGGGTCGCTGGTTCGATTCCCAGTCAGGGCACACGCTTGGGCTGCAGGCCAAGTCTTCAAGTAGGGGGCATGTAAGAGGCAACTACAAATTGATGCTTCCTTCCCTGCCCCTCTCTAAAAATAAATAAATAAAATCCTAAAAACCAAAAACACACACCAATAAAACAAAAAACACAACAAAACAAAAAACAACCCCCCCCCCATTTTTCATTTTCACCAATAACTATTGATTTGGATCTTTTAAGTGTGTTGGCTATCCCCCGCATTGGCTTTTAGTGGGTAGAGGCCAGGTGTGCTGCTAAACATCTTCCAATGCATAAGACAGCCCACTGCAAAGATTTGGCTAAAATGTCAGTGGTGCCAAGAAACTTCACAAACCACTACTGACATGTCTAATCAGTCACAGCAGCTGCTTCACACATTGCACAAATCTTTTTGCGTTTCAGTTGTGTTTTTCCCTTTCTTGAAATAATAAAGCATAATACGCCAAAAATGTTGCATCTTTTCTTCCATCTTCAAAATTAAAATGGCTGCACAGAAATACACCAATTTGGTTTTTTTTTAATGCAGGCTGATATGACAGCAGTCACAATACAATCTAACAAAAATTTTCAAATTGAGTTAAAGACAACTAAACACCACTGCATGGGGAAAAAGTAAACGAATCTTTTAGGCAACCCAATATATAAACAGCTATAAGGTAATCAAACCTATACTAACTAGTAAACCACAGTCCTACAATAAGAAAGCAGACAAGATAATGAACAAATAATAATTTACCTTGTTTTCAAGAACTGAATCATTCGGTGCTTCTTCTGCCTTGTCATTTTCTTTATCTTCCTCTTCTGAGCCCTCGGTTTCTGCAAGCAAAAATTCCTCAGTATTGAGAATACTAAGAGTATCTTCTGACTGACTAGTCAGAATTCTATAAACATCTGTGAAATCATCTGTGTTCTGAGGTAAGACAGGGAAGATGCTAAGCCAAACCAGCCAACATTTGAACTGGCTATAAATAAGGCCAGTGATTACAATCTAATTCAAGTCGTAATCTAAATTAAACTTAGATTGCATAATCTTGTGTCTATGGTTCAGACCTTCAACAATAAAAGGCTAAGTGTTTCTCTTCTTAAAATCAGTCTGGATTGTTCAGATGAAGACCAATTAGCTACTGCCTCTTATTCACTGGCTAGAAGCTCCCATCTAAGCCAGAAGCAGTTGGAGGTATCCTCAGCCAGTGTTCCTAGCATCTTTAAGACACTTGTTAGATAACACTCATAGGCTGAGAAATACTGAAAGTTAAGTTACTCCAGTCCATTCAGAGCAGGAATGATGGACAGACTAGTTTTCTCAAAATAAAGCTGTAGAGAGAATAGCATAGCCTTTATCAACTCTCACCAATGAGCATGCCACATACTCCAGCCAGCTCTAGCATGTACAGAATCTGAAAAGTACCACAACCAGTTATTTTATTCCAGCAACATGCTTAAATCTGCAGCCATGATACCGTATTTTACCATATCGACATATACTTACAAGTCAAGTGCCTATAAGGACAGGCTGCTAATAAATATCTCTACACAGCACATAATGCTCAGAATGTCGTGTGATTAATATGGGCTTTTAGGGCACAAACAATTCCTCTACAGCAAACAAGCTGTTTTATCAAGTGGCTTGCTTTTCTTCAATTTCTATGGACTATGTAATTTAGTACTTCTGAAATCCAAACACCCACAACCAAACACCATTACCTGTCCATACTCAAACTTCCTAGTGGTTTGTGTACTTAGTTCCCTCATGTTAGACTAGATGAGTGATTTTATTGATGGAACAATGACACCCAGCCTCCAGCAGATTGTGTAACAAGTGAAACAATCTATGGAGGTTCATAACAGACTTGAGAAAATACCTTATCTTCTCAATTTGCAGGAAAAATCAACTAAATGTTTGTTATTCTATACTGCTCTTTTTTTAAAAAAATCCCCACCAGAGCATTTTTCATTGCTTTTAGAGAGAGGAAGGGGAGAGAAAGAAATTCAGTGTGAGGGAAAAAAAAAAAAAAAAAATCTACTGGATACCATCTTAATGTGCCCCAACCAGGGATCAAACCCACAACCTGGGTATGTGCCCTGGCCACGAAACAAACCCCTCAACTTTACAGTCTATGAGATAATGCTCTGAGCACTGAGAGCCATGTGGGCCAGAGCCTATACTGTTCTAAATGATCCCTTCTTACACATACCAGAATGTTAGAAGATGACATCTAATTTGGCATAAAATATCTATTTGTAGTTTTACATCAAATTTTCAAATTAAAAATTTTTACAACAGTGTGAGGAAAATACTGGTTTTTCTTGAGGAATCTGTACTACCTTCATGGAATGGTAAGAGAGGGAGCTAGGTTAATGAGAAAGCCATTACTTTGAGACAACACTTTCCAACTTGGTAACTTGTACCCAGGTATTAATGGAAATGCTCTAATGTCCATCAGAGAACTGTTAAAATATTTTCCAAGCTTCTTTGAAAATGGAATCTTGTGGCATGCTTATAATCACACTTGAAAGAAAAGGGAGACACTATTTTATGCCATTTCTCTGATCTTGTAGCCAAAGGCAAAGTAAAGGCAATCTGCTGATTCTCTAGTTATTAAAAGCACTTTCACCAGATAAAGTCAGATAACCACTACAGATTGACCAGTACAGTGCATCTGGGCATGGCCAACCTTTACACCCAATTTTAAAATTCCATTCACTCACTCATCATATCTAGCATGACAGTAGAACAAACACCAGACCAACAATTTTTATTAGGGACATTAACAGTCCAAGAGGTGGTAGGAAATGGGGTTTTAAGAGAAAAATCTCAAGATTTTTGCAGACTATGTTGCCACATAAATTCCGGATAGGAGGTGAGTTAAGGGAGAGGACAAAAGTTGTCTTCCTTGGTATGAGGTTGCCTACGAAGGGCAATACATTCAAGTCAGATCTAGGGTTGGATTCCAGTATTATGACTTACTGTTTGACCGTAAACCTCAATTTCCTCATCACTATGACTGGAGTAATATTACTTATTAGCTAGGGTTATTTTGGAATCAAAAGTAATATATGTGTGAGAGCTCTAACAATGAATGTTATTTTTGACCAGATGAATAGTTTTCGAACGAACTATGAGAAATATGACATCTACGGTGTAGCTTATTATTTGAAGTTCAACCTAAGAGAGCCAGATGAACTTTCTACTATCCTTGCTCACTATCATTAAATACCAAGGCATGGAAATTTTCAGTCCTGGCCGGGTTGTTCAGTTGGTTAGAGCGTTGTCCCAATACGCCAAGGTTGCAAGTTGGATCCCAGTCAGAGCACAAAGAAGAATCAACCAATGAATACATAATCAATAAGGGCAACAACAAATTGATGTTTCTCTCTCTCCCCCACCCTTTCCCCTCTCTCTACAATGACTACATTTTAAAAATGGAAAAAAAGACATGGGAGTTTTTAAAAATTGAAGAATTCAGTTCTGTGCTTTTCCCATAAAGACCTTCTAAAGCCCATAAACAATCTAATGGTGATACCACTTAGCCAAATTCACTTCTGGTTACCATGCCTTTGCTGGCTGGAGTGCAGGAACCTGCACATAGGTAGAAGTTTACAGAATGAGCTGTAAATATTGATAATGGGTCTTTAAAAATCTGAAATTTAAGAGAGCTCTCAAAATAATCTGTCAATTATATGAATGATTAATTGGTATATACCTGGGGTTGTTAACACCAATGTTAGACGAACCTTATAAACAGCAGAATCCTCAAATGATAGTACAACTCAATTCAGACGTGCCAATTATGTAATTACTAATTAGAGGCTCATAGATCTTGAATAAATTGAATGAAAAGTAGACTAAATAATAGCATATAAAGAAAACATCCGCACTTTAAAATGTTTGAAGTAACAAAAATTTCATTTTGACAGCCAAAGCAAGCATGAAATGAGGGGAGAAAGCAGCAAGAGGACTAATGAAGTTTTCTATCATCTTTTGAAGGGGACTAATTTGATTAATGTGAATAAGCCTCTAAGCATTTCCTGAAGATTTAAAATTTAAGATGGGTCACCAGAATTCTTTCACTCTGGTACAGCCTTCTAGAGTTAACTAACCACATTTAAATGGCATGCCTGCTTAAGTGTACCAGTTCAGTGGATTCTACTGCTGTAATCCTGCTTCCTAAAGCAGAGAAAAGGAACCATGTGAGCAGTAAGTAAAACAATCCAGAGGCATGCAAGTGAACATCCATTCAGCATTCTCTGCCAGCCTAGCCCACTAATTCTCTACCCACCCCAATCTACCCCTATCCACCTTTATTGGCTAGTATGGTACAAGTTACTAATAGCTAGCCAAGCCTCAGAAATCAGAGAAGGCCTATTTTGCAGTTAGTAAAAGCGTTAGTCATTAAGCCAGCTAAAGACGACTTACTGCTGATTTAACTTGCTCGACTTATCACAACCTTCTTAATCTACCCCCCATTTTCATTTAGTCCTTTCCTAATCCAAAGGCAGACGGAAAATCCTGAATGGAAGGCTGACTTTTACCCATGATTAGTGAGTCAAATCCAGAATGTACTCCACCCACTGCAGCTCTTGCATATCCCGGTTACCTTCACCCTCTTTCATCTGTTCTTCTCTCTCTTGTGTTTCTTCATTAGCAGCTATATTAACTTTGTCTTCAGGGGATTTCTCAGTAGCACCCTGGGCTACCTTGGTCTCAAACCCATCTCCAGCTGCCCCAGACTCTTCTACAGACAGCTTAGTCTCCGCCTGGTTAGGAACCAACTCTGCCCTGACCACCTCTTCTAGTCCTGAGCCATTTTTTCTTTCTGCCAATCCTTCTCCACTAGTCTCTGGTTCAACAGGAGTCTGATCTCCTGCAACTGACAGTCCATTGACTGCACCATCCTTAGGGAGAACTGTGGCCTCCTGACCAGGCTTCTCAGAGACTTGTGATCCATCTTCTGCAACCTCTGTTGTCACCTCTGGTGGCTCTTCAGCAGGAGGCACTTCTTGCCCTACCAGCTGCTCAGGAACAGATTTTCCTGGATCATTTTCAGAATCAGCTACCTGCTCCTTTGGCTCATTCCCACCCACATCCTCTGGCTTGACTGTTGAATCTATAGGCTCTGTTTCTACCTCCACTTCAGCGCCCTGCTTTTCTGGAGTCACAATAGGCTGCTCTTCTGAAGCTTCTTTTGGCTTGTCCTCTATCCTCACAATTACCTCTCCCTGCTTCTGCTTCTCCTGACCTCCATTTTCTTTGTACTCTTCTTGGATGAGAGTTGCAGAAACTGATTTCCCTTCCTCAGCATCCAGTGCTTCCTTTCCTGGCTTCCCAGAAGTGACCTCAGCTTCACTTGGTCCTTCTGGTCCTGTTGCTCCTTTTGCCTCTTCAGTGGTTTCAATTAAGTGATCTGGAGTGGATTCAACTTTTTCCTGTAGTTCCCCTGCAGGCTCACTTATATCCATATCTTCTCTTCCACCCTTTTCCACTTCAGTCTCCTGTTCCTTATCATTTTCAGGCTTCACCAGAGACTTGTCTTCCAGTTTTTTTGCTTCTTCTTTTTCTCCCATGGCGTCATAAACCTGTTCTCTCAACTCTTCCCTTGCTTCCTCTACATGGTTAAAGAACATGAAGCATAAACATGTCTTCGAGTTTAATGATAAAGGCATAAATGGAAACTAAAAATACATTCCCTTTAAACCCTCAAACAGCCTGGCTCAAGTTTTAGCAGATGGCCTACAAATTATTTGCCCCCTAGAGAAAAGCAAAGGGAAAGTCCCATCTAGCAGAGCAACTTATTGCAAAAGAAAACCAAGCTCCTTAAATTAGATGTTGTTTTACTTGAGCACTCTGATTATCAGTTAGGTGGAGATGCCAAGTTTTACATTCTCCTCTAAACATTATAGCTAAAAGCCAAATTCAGCTTAGAAATTAACATCTAAATTTCTCACACACAAAAAATGTAAAAGGGTTCTGAAAGCACTACTATTAAAATAACTGGGCTTCACAGACTTTTAAAATTTACCTATCCTCTTACAAAAGCCTGCAGTCAGTTTCTGTAATCAGCTACCTCCACTGCAGTCTCCATCAGATGCAGGTTATCACCCAGGCATCTTAGAGACCATCCAAGATAAGGAGGAGCCTTATTTCCATTACTTGCACACAAGAAATACACGTCGCATCTTTGGAACACCACATGCAACTCCACATACCATCTATGTTATCATTATTTTCTACCAGAGATTCTTCTGTTTTTTCTCCTTCCTCCTCTTCCACATGCACACCTTCCAGGGCATTTCCCAATACACCATTCTCCATTCTAGGAGAACAAAAGGAAAAAGGACCAAAGATATGATGGCTAGAATGTAACAATTTTTTAAAGATAGAAACTGTAGTCCTATATTATAAAAGCAACAGAAGAGTAAGCAAATGCATAGAATAAAAACTAGGTACTCTTGTAAAACTCACATATATTAAGGCTGTAAGAGCACTAAAGGAAATAATCATATCCGTCACCCAGTCACCTGAAAAGTCCTGATGACTTTATCAAAAAGACAAAAATCAATATATATATATATTTACAATAGGGTCATATTTTTCAAACATCATATCTATTCACATTTCCCTAAATGGCCAACGTTCTGGCAAGATTTTCATAACAAATCACCAGAATGCTGCATAAAATTAGAAAACTGACCAGAAAAGAAATTAAATAGATTACATATAATTTGCCACTTTTGTATATACCCTCAATGTATTTTTTCCTGGTTAATGAACTCTGGTGGATAACACACAACTTTATAATAATTAAGATTACTTGTTTTATCTCTGGTGTGGCTCGGTGGATGGAAAGCTGGCCTGTAAACAAAAAGGTCACTGGTTCAACCCCCCAGTCAGGGCACATGCTTGGGTTGTGGGCCAGGTTCCCTAGTTGGGGGTGTGAGGCAACTGATCATGTTTCTTTCCTTCTTACTCCCTTCCTTCTCCTCTCTCTAAAAGCACATAAATCAAATCTGGAGGGGGGAAAAAAAAAGACTACCTGTTTTATTTATTAAACACATTCACTTACTAGTGTATTCAAATTGCTCTTCATTCAGTCCTTGTGAAAGAAAATTATTTTGCACAAGTTGAGAGTGTTTTTAAAGGTTCTCCATATTGGACTTTGATAAATTACTGTCAGCTAAGGGAAAGGTCTCTGCTTCTAATGACCCCAAAGTCAAAACCTAAGTAAAATTTCCTCTTTGCATCAAGTGCCTTTCAAAACTTCCATCAATATTTCATACTCATTCTAATCCCCCGTTCTTAATAAAATCAGTCACACTTAGGTCACGTGAAATCCCAAGCCAGTAAACTATCTTAACAAAGAAACTAAAGTTTTTTAAAAAAGATTTTATTTATTTTTAGAGAGAAGGGAAGGGAGAGAGAGGGAATGAGTGAGAAACACTGATGTGCCTCTTGCAGATCCCCAACTGGGGACGTGACACCTGCAACCCAGGCATGTGCCCCAACGGGAAACTGAACCAGCAACCTCTTGGTTACCAGGCCAGTGCTCAATCCACTGAGCCACACCAGACTGGGCAAAAACCTAGTTTTTAAATAGATCACTATGGTGATACAAAATACTGTACTTTTGCCCTGGCAGGGTAGTTCACAGCTGGTTAGAGCACTGTCCCCATATGCCAAGGTTGCAGGTTCAATCCCCAGTCAGGGCAGATGCAAGAATCAACCAACAGCCTAGTGTGGCTTAGTTGATTGCAGCATCGTCATACCATTACCTAAAGGTTGCTAGATTGATTCCACATCAGGGCAAATGCCCATATTGTGGGCAGGAGGCAGTCAATCGATCAGTGTTTCTTTTTCTCTCTCTCTCCTTCCTCCCCCATGAATAAAATATACCTTAAAAAAAAACAACACCAGCCAACTAATAAATGCATAAATAAGTACAACAACTCAGTGTTTCTCTCAGAGAAAGGATGTTTGTTTTTTTTAGAGGTAGAGAGAAACATTGAACAAAACATTCTACTTATAAATCAGTTTGAAACACATACCTTGCCAACTCCAGAAGTGATTTCCCATAGAAAAAGAAAGCTTCTCCACACTCATTTGCTGTCTCTCCATATTTCTTACCTCTGTAAAGAGAATAAACTACCTAAGACCTGAATTAACATCTAGTCTAAAACATTTATTTCTAGTTCTTTAGTTATGATATTCCTTCAGTAACACATCCTAAGAAACTAATATTCCCCTCTCTTGCTTTTTAATCAACGTCAAAGGGACCTAGACCTAAGAAACAGTACATGAAGTTAGTGTTGCCTGTTCTTCATCTCTATATATTGTAAATGACATCAATTTACTGCAGTTATAATATATAATCTAAGAGCTAAACTAGATATAGTTAGAGGGCCTTTGGCTGGGACTGAAAGGAGGAGTAAGGACCATGAAAGAGCATCATGAAATAGTAAGAGCATTTTTCCTCTGAAGCAAGAGTGCCTGAGAAGTTAATCTCAGTGTCTTAGTTTTCTTATCTATAAAATGGAAATGGAACAGCTCAAAGACCTAATGAAGAACTGTGTTACTGTATATAAAAGCATTTAAAACAATGTTTAGAAATACAGATTTATATGTAAGTTTTAGCTATTATAATCTAGACAGTAGAGAGTGAAAAGGAAAGGAGAAACATCACACAAGTATGAAAAATGAGAAGGAGGTGGCACTTTACGTAGAGTAAGGAGACTGCTTTCATGGAGTAAAGGACTGGCAGGCCAACTACCAGGAAACCAAGAAGGAAAAAAGTCTTTTTAATTTGAAAAGAAACTAAGCAGGAATAGTGTGGTGGAGGTCATGTTTACTTAAGGGCAGTCTGCTAGACTGGGACAGCACACCTCAAATTTTCCTAAATACCCTCAGTGGCAGGACAGTGAGCATACTGCATACTGATTGCTCCAGGAACCTAGAAGGAATAAGGTTAAGAAGTGTGTTTCTTTCTGTTTAATATTAAAAACTTAGATTTTAATGTTATAAGATAACTGTCAAATTCTATAAAAAATACCCAGGAATCAGATGAGTTTATTGCAGACATCCAGGAATAAATTCCTAAAGATTCTTTTCAGAGGAAAAGTAAGGGATTGGGAAAAGAACAGACTGATATAATCCAGACTGACTGAACAGAGGAATGAAAAAGGCTTTTAATCAGTGAGCCTCAAACCTGAAACCCAGCTTTGTTATAAGCATTTCTTTTATTGAGCTGACCAAAAAGTTAGTTTTCTCCATGCAATGGCTCAAGTAGTGCTCAAGTAGTTGAAGACAGCTTCAACTTTATTTGAAACAATTTTGTTAGATTGTATTGTGACAGCAGTCATATCAGCATGTATTTTGTTTTATTTTAAAAAAGATTTTATTTATTTTTAGACAGATGGGAGGGAGGGGAAAAAAGAGGGAGGGAAACATCAACCAGTTGCCTCACACGCCCCCAAACTGGGTATGTGGCCTACAACCCAGGCCAGTGCCCTGACTGGGAATTAAACAGGCAACCCCTTGGTTTGCAGATCGGTACTCAATCCACTGAGCCGCATCAGCCAGGGCTCAGTGTGCATTTTTAAAAGAATGTATCAAAATGGGTGAATTTTTGTGCAGCCATTTTAATACTGAAGATGGAAGATGCACATCATTTTTGGTGTATTATGCGCTATTATTTCAAGAAAGAGAAAAACACAACTGTAATACAAAAAAAGATCTGTACAGTATATGGAAAAAGTGCTGTGACTGATCAAACATGTCAATGGTGGTTTGCAAAGATTCTTGGCACTGCTGACATTTCGGCCAAACACTTCTTTGTGGTGGGGCTGTCTTATGCACCAGAAGGTGTTTAGCAGAACCCCTGACCTCTATATCCACTAGAAGCCAATAGCGGGAGATAGCTGACATATTTAAAATACCCAAACCAATACAGTTATTGGTCAAAATGAAAAAAATGTATCGTTTATTTTATGGAAAAAACTATACTTTTTGGCCAACCCAATATAAGGAAGATTTCTTCAAATCAGCTAGTTAAACATGATTACTTCAACTGCTATTGGTAACAGTATTTTAGAGGAAACTAGCTCAAACTAAGTTATAGACTGAAAGGCTAATGCTTGAAGATTTTAACTTTCTTAGAGGACAGAGGTACATTCAGGTATTTGGTTAAAATAAATCAATCTTGAGGCACTAAAGCTAACCTGTTTCCTCAAAATACAGATAAATATGGTCACCTATTGGTAACTACCAAAGTTCTTGCAGTTACACTAGATAACAAAGTGCTAAGAGTCTATAAAAATTAGTGTGCTAACTACAACATTAGTGGTAGGCTGGCCAATGATCATGGCCTGCTTGGGACTGAGTTTCCCCAGACAAAGAACTTCCACTGCTAAAACTGGAAAAGCTCTGGAACAAATTGGGCCAAGTTGGTCACTGTAATGAACAGTGACTAGAAAACATATTACTTTACTCAGGAAAATCAAAGGCTAATAAAATTGCTCAGTTATATGTAGGTTCTATAGTTATGAATTTGAATATGAACATTAATCATCTCTTAAAACTCTTGTACTTTATTTTTTTCCTCATAAAACTGTTTATGACTCAAGTTTATTAGGAACATATCACATCACAGCAAAACACAGTACTTACAAAAGACTAGCTGCTTCCTGGAATGCATTGACAGCTGCTGGAATATCTCCCATCACTAGATGTTTCTGTCCTAAGCCCAGTAGCTTCTTAGCTTCACTATCCACATCCAGACTGCAAGGAAAAAAATTTTTTTTCAAGTGTCAAAATAGTTTTTAAAATCAACATTTTCTTGAAACCTGCTACATTTAAACCATCATTTCTTTAAGTTCGTGATCTACTCTTGCAAAGCTTTGCTAACTCACATTTATCACTACAAAAGTAAAAGAAATCTTAAAAGCATCACCAGAATTAGATTTTCTCTCTAAATTAATACAGCAAGTATTACTAGCTAAAATAAAAATTAGCCCTGACTGGTATCGCTCAGTGGGTTGAGAGTTGTTCATGCAAACCGAAAGGTCCTGGTTTGATACACAGTCAGGGCACATGCCTGGGTTGCAGGCCAGGTCCCCAGCTGGGGGAATGCAAGAGGCAACAGACTGGTATTTCTCCCCGTCTCTTTCTCCCTCCTTTACCCTCTCTCTAAATATAGATGTATAAAAGGATATTCACAAGGTAACAAGTGAACCTCACACCATATACAAAAATTGACTAGAAATGGATCATAGACTTTGTAAATGGAAGTTTTAAAATATAAAACTTCTAGAAGGAAATATAGCTGAAAATCTTAACTTTCAGTTTGACAAATATTTTAAATAAAATTAAAAAACTATTTAAAAAAAATCAATAAACTAGGTAGACTATTAAAATGAAAATCTTCTGCTTTTTGAAAGACATTTATAAAAATGAAAAAATGTCTTCTCCACACTGAAACTCAGAGACTGGACAGAAATATATGCAAAACTCATTGCTTTAACATAAAGGATTTTTATCTTAAAAATATAAAGAACCCTTACTAAAATGAAGTAAGACAAACACTGCAATAAGAAGGGCAAAATATAGGAACAATTAATATATAAATGGTAAATAAGCAAATGAAAAGATGCTCAACACCATTAATTATTTGAGAAATAAAAACTAAACTCATAATAAGATACGATTACACCCCAATTTGAATGGCTAAAATGTAAAGACTGACCCACATCAAGTTTTGATGAGGATGCAAAGCAGCTGGACCTCTTAATACTGATAGAAATGTAAATTGGGAGAATTGCTTTGGAAAATATATCCTAACCTGATATAGTCATTCATTTTAGAGATAAAGGAAAGGAGAGGGAAGGAGAAAGAACACTGACTGGCTGTCTCCCAAAGGTGCGGGCAACCTAGGTTATGTGCCCTGATTGGGAATTGAAACCACAACCTTTCTGGTGCACAGGACAACACTCCAACTTATCCATCCAGCTAGGGCTAGTAATTTCATAAAGTTAGTTATATAACTACCACATATTTACGCATTCCATTCCTAGGTATTAATTCAAAAAGAAAAGTGTATACCTTCCTTTGTACACAAACATTTATACCAGAATTACTTGTAATAGCCAACCAACTAATGTTTCTCTCCCCCCTCTTCTCCTTTCTCTAAAACAAACAAAATATTGTAAAAAAATTTAAATATTTTTAAATGTTACATGTCGATGTGACTCTTATGTTTAAAAAAGGAAAAAAAAAAAAAAAGGACAACTAGGACTTCCGTCCTAGATGGAGGTATAGGTAGATAAGCTTCACTTCGTCCCACAACCAAAAGGACAACTAAAAACAAAAAACCACCAGAACTGCCAGAAACACAAACTATATGGAAGTCCCACAGGCAAGGAGTTAAGAATCGTTCACCCAGACTGGTAGGAGGGGTGGAGACCAAAAAGACACGCAAAGAGGACTGTGCAAGGCAGTGGCTGTGGCTGGTGGACCAGGGGTCCCACATTCGCATCCAGATAAATTAGGAGGAACAACAGGGGAGCAAGACAGGCTCCAGCATGGGGAAATAAAGCCTCAAAAATTCTGCTGGTAAAAACCTGTGGGGTTTTTCTCTTGGACTCTACCCCACATAGAGTGCCACAATAGTGAAGTAGGTTTTGCCTCACCCTGGCAAATACCTAAGGCTCTGCCTCTTACAATGTAACAGAAGTGCGGAGAAAAAGAAATATGGCCCAAATGAAAGAACAGATCAAAACTCCAAAAGAACTAAGCAACAAAAAGGACATAGTCAAACTACCAGATGCAGAGTTCAAAACACTGATAATCAGGATGCTCAAAGAAATGACTGGGTACAGTCACAAAATAAAGGAAGGCTATACAAATAGAAATAAAGAAAAAAATACAGGGGAGCAACAGTGAAGGTAAGAAGCTGGGACTCAAATCAACAATTTGGAACAAAAGGAAGAAATAAATATTCAACTGAACAGAACAAAGAAATAATTCAACAAAATGAGGAGAGGCTTAGGAACCTGTGGGACAACTTGAAATGTTCCAATATCTGAATCATAGGGGTGCCAGAGGGAGAAGAGCAAAAAATTGAAAAGTTATTTGAAAAAATGAAGAAAATTTCCCTAATTTGGTGTTGGAAATAGACACACAAGTCCAGGAAGCTCAGAGTCCCAAAGTTGGACACAAAGAGGACCATACCAAGACACATTATAATTGAAGTACCCAAGATTAAAGATAAGGAGAGAATCTTAAAAGCAGCAAGAGAAAAGGAGATAGATACCTACAAAGGAGTTCTCATAAGACTATCAGCTGATTTCTCAAAAGAAACCTTGCAGACAAGAAGAAGGGGCTGGAAAGAAGTTTTCAAAGTCAAGAAAAGCAAGGACCTACATTCAAGATTACTCTATCCAGCAAAGCTATCATTTAGAATGGGAGGGCAGAAGAAAGTGCTTTCCAGACAGGGTAAAGCTAAAGGAGTTCATCATCACCAAGTCCTTATTACATGAAATGGTAAAGGGACTTATCTAAGAAAAAGATCAAAATTATGACAGTAAAATGAAAACATACAACTCTCAACAACCAAATCTTAAAAAAAAACCCAAAACAAAAACAAACTAAGGAAGCTAGAACAGGAACAGAATCACAGAAATGGAGATCACATGGAGGGTTTATGAGAGGGGAGGGGAAGGGGGAGAAATGGGGAAATACGTAGAGGGAATAAGAAGCATAAACGGTGGGTACAAAACAGACAGGGGGAAGTTAGGAATAGTATAGGAAATGGAGAAGCCAAATAATTTAACATTTACAACCCATGCTGGAGGGAATGGGAGTACTAGGCAGAGGAATAAAGGGGAGGAAAAAAAAAAATGGGGCAACTGTAATAGTATAATTAATAAAATATACTTAATAAATCTATTTTCAAAGCAAAAAATAGCGAGAAGAGTGGCACTATTTTGCATGTCTGGTAATTCATTTTACATGTCTGACTTATTAGAACTTTCATATCCACTGTTCTTTTCTTATATTTACTATATTGTGATTTGTTGTTTTAACTGAAGTATAATAATAGCTGGTCTCACACAGATATGTACTTGGAAAAGGTAGTACTTCCACAAATTTTTAGGTAATTGTGAATATTCTTCTTTGATACCCTATGAAAACTCAACAAGTGGTAGTTTCTTTTTTTTCATTATTAAACATTTTAATTGAGATATAATTCACATACCCATAAAATGTGCTCATTGAAAACAATTCGATTATTTTTAGTATATTCAAGGAATTGTGCAACTATCACCACAATCTAAGTTTAGAACCTTTATTACCCCAAAAGGAAACCCCGTATCGATTAGCAGTCACTACCCATTTCATTCTTCTCCCAGCCCTCAGCAACCAGTAATCTACTCTGTACATATATGCCTAACCCCAGGTCATGAGTTTATTAACTATTATTCTTCTAAGAACTTTACATTTTTGCCTCGTACATTTCGTACTGTGATTTTTTTTGTTTTAAATAATTTTTTATTTTTCAATTCCAGCTGACACACATACATGCCAGTCATTCGACATTATATAACTTACTATCATCCCAATAAATCTCATAACTATTTGACACCGTACATAATCATTAGAATATTATTACCTATATTCCCTATGCTGTACTTTACATCCCCAGGACTATTCAGTAACTACCAATTTGTGCTTAATCCTTTCACCTTTTTCACCCATCTCCACAACAGCCTCCAATCTGCCAATCCTCAAAATGTTTTCTGGATCTATGATTCTGAAGTTTGTTCACAATATGGAATATGAAAACATTGATTAAGTTTTCATATTGGAAAATTAAAAATCATTAGTCTAGCCCTGGCTGGTGTGGCTCAATGGGTTGAGCAATGGCCTGGAAACCAAAAGGTGATTCACCAGTTAGAGTACCATGGGGGCATGTGAAAAGCAACAGGTTAATATCTCTCTACCATTCTTCCTTCCCCTCTCTAAAAAATGAATAAATAAAAATCTTGAAAAATAATCACCACCAATTTCATCAGGAGAGTCTTAAATTATTCTCAGTTATTTTCCCTTGTATGTTACAAGCTCACTCTACTCATTTTAGAGCAAAGGTACCCCAATACCCAAGTTTAAATAATCAGTTTGTCAGTTGGTCATTCTTCCAAGTAAATACAAAATTCTATGAAAAATTCAATACTTAATTCAAACAAACAAGTGGCTTTTTCTACAACCATTATATGTACTTCATTATACAGAAGCAGTATCCACACTTCCCATTTTGTCACACAGATTATCAAGAGATGTAGTGAGGAACCGAAAATGATCTTGTCCGGGATAGCATGGCTCAGTGGATTGAGGGCCAGGCTGTGAACCAAAGGGTTGCTGGTTGGACTCCCAGTCAGGGCACATGCCTAGGTTGAGGACCAGGTCCCCAGTAGGGGGTGTGCCAGAGGCAATCACACGTTGATGTCTGTCTACCTCTCCTCCTCCCTTCCCCTCTCTCTAAAAAGAAATAGAATCTTAAAAAAAAATCTGGCTTATAGCACTTCATTATAGAAATTCTTAAGTGAAATTGGTATGTTACATCATAGACATTCCAAAGTGAAACTGGTAGCAAATAAACAAGAACTTCTGGTACTATTTGGTGCCACTGCCCTAGCTCATGTTAAGGAAACACCAAGTTCACCACCATTGTTTTTGTACCGTTAGTGCCAATTTCAACACAGGGAAAATGGTTATTATCAAAA